TTAAATCCTTTGTCATGATCCACATAAGCTATGACTAACTTTTGTCATTGCTTATTCTTTTATTTAATTTCTTGTTTTCCTTTCTCTATAAATATAGCTGATAAATTTCACTTCTCCCAGTTTTCTTTATCAGATATATTTCATAATCATCTTCTCTTTTCTTTTTTTTATTCTTAAATAAATAACCTGCTCTCAAGAAGCTATTCATTCTCTGTCCTGTCCTGCCTGTCTCGTTCCTCCCTCGTTCCTGAAAAAATGTCTTACCGTTATTTGTATATTTGGTTGTAAAAGATAGGTATCCATTAATTCGTACACTATTTCTTTATACTCTTTATCAGCAGTATAATTATATCAATATATAAGTAAATGAACCATTTATATTAATAGCTGCTCTATTATCTCTCTGGGTAGTTAATCCATTGAGAGAACTATTAATATTAAGTTTCTCTTTCTTATAGTTGTTGATTTGATCGGAGAAGCTTCTCTTCCCGATCGGTGATATCGTAACTCAGTGGTATAGAATTCTGTATCCAACTGTCATTCGTATATCAATTTTAAGCCAATCATGCAATCTTTTTATATAGAAATATGTACTCATAGTAGGAGTCGTTGTGTAGCAGTATACAGGTGTATGCTGTTACTCAACATTAAAGGATGTTTTTATTTCATGTTTTTATAATTTATTCGATTTATTTGTTTATTCTCAAATAAATCATACCCAAATACGACACTATCATCAATTCTTTCTTTCTTCTTTGATAACCTTTCTATAAATCATTATTGCACTGCTCTTTAAATTAAATACATGCTATTACACTCTATTTACTACGCATTGATTACTCATCAATATAATAGAAAACAATAGTCATACATTTATTCCAGATAATACACAATCCAATGATATGATCGCTCGCCAATAACAAGATTCTCGAAGGTACCATGAGATGCTCGATCTTTAATTGACAATACGCCTATTGTATATTAGACAGGTTTCACTCTAATGATTGATATTCAGCCAGCCCTGAATATGTATATAAGGAACCCAATATATTGTATAATAAAGACATTAGTTCATTTTTGCAGTTTGATAATTTTACTTCGTCAAATTTCTTACTTTTATTCTTAATTCGTTGTTTTATTTCTCGAATTTCTCAAAAATTTAAAATTTCTACATTGTAGAGGAATAGCTTAAGAAGTTACAAGGTATATATTGAGCTTGGAATTAATAGAAATTGTGTGGTTTTCATTTAAATAATCATTTGTGAGTTGCAACTCTTTCGTGAAATTGCTGAAAAGCATTCTCACATCCGTAAGGATTCTTTTGATTTCACGTTATTTTTCTGCTGGAATTACCTCACAAATGAACAATTACTTTTGCAAATTTTATGAATAGCTCTGCAAGATTGAGAGAAGTATCAACTGCAAAGGCTGTGTACAACTTACATCTGGGTAGTCGTTATAATGGACTTCGCGATATTCTTGCCGTTTTTCCTACTGAAAATATTCAACAAATGGATCAAATTGCAAGACAAATCTTTATGAGAGAGGCTTCGTCACTTCAAAATTAAACTCTTCAGCTGGACAACATTAATGTCATTATTATTGAATTATAGGAAATGGATACCACCATTGACACAGCGAATCCAAATATTTTTGCAGGTTATACTCAAATTAAAGCAAGAATTAAACCGTTGTTGCAGCCAATCTAAATTGACTTGGTGTTACACAGGATAGGATATTTTCTATAAATACGTCCCTTTTTTTTGTAATAAATATTTCTACAGTTTTATCTTAACTAAAAATCTAGTTTCTTAATAATTTGTAATTGACTCCTTTGTGTTTCCCTCAACTTTCATACTTCTTGTTTATCTTAAGTTCATACTTACATATAACAATTAACTCAAAGTTCATATTTTCACACTCGACTCGAATCTCTTTATTACTATAACCGTACATAAGATATTGTTTATAATAACATAATTACTTTTCTTTTTAATCTTGGCAATTCGTTTATATTTATATTACTTACGCCCTCTTAAAATCATCGTTGATTATCTTCTTATCCTAAAAACTTTATATTATAAGATTTCTTAAGTTGACTACTTCCAGTCTGGTGCTCACTTTCATAACTACTTTCTTATTAACATCAGCGTTAATAACCTATATCCACCTTATCCTTTAAGAACTATTACCAGTGTCTTAACACCGTATTAATGACGCCGTTTTACGCACCAGTACAACTGTAGGCACATTTAAGGGTGTCTACGAAATGTACCTCCAAAATCTGACGCAAAGACTAAATCTTTTGCTTCCACAATTTGAAAATGTTGCATGACTTACGATGAGTACAATAATCGAACACAGAAATACAAGTCAAATGTTACACTCTTTGGAACGAAGATCAGATGAAGCGTTAACATTTGATCCCAACAATCAAGAACTTTTACAGTCACGTACATTGCTTGAGCGCACAATAGGAGCAACCAATCAAATACACGAAGCCTGCATCGCAGAAAATGCTGCAATTACTCAAGAAGATAATGTTCCGGCTTGGTTAATAATAGATATGATGTCGCGTATGGTTCAAACCTGTGCGGATATTACTTGATCTTTTACTCGTCAATTCAGAAACGCACGCGAGCTTCTCAACAGAAGTCTTCAGTTACTAACTTTCGGCACAAATGCTTCTCAGATTACATCGAAAACCTTTTGGTCTCATTTGTTCTCAAGAGCTTGTCGAGATTCTCAAAACTTGAGCGAAAGGGTGGTAAGTACAACTATTTGTAAAAAATTGATAAGACTACATAGTTTAAGAAAATTGGTATTTTTTTTTCATAGAACTACGAACAGTGCATTCTAGATAACGTCGAGCGATTTAACCAAATCCGACAGAGACAAGATGATGCAAATGAGAATTTGGACGAGCTTCCAGAACTAGATAATGTTTAATATGGCCTTTCAAAAATATTTGCAGCAACCGCTGTCCAAAGTAAATATGTATACCTAAACTTTGGAAAGCTAAGACTCATTACTTTCGAAAAGTAGATGTTGGGATGCATTTGCTGAATTTTAAACTATGGATAATTCGTGTTTTTGCGGCCTTTCTAAATCATCATCAAGCTCGCGTTAACCAAAGAGTTGCAGTGAAGACGATAGGTAAGTAGGTTTTAATATTTCTATAAAAAGTTTTATGTATTCTTGTTAGTTACTAATGAACCAATACGTTATAGCTAAAATAGCCGCTACGGGAGTTGTTCAGCATCAGTCTTTTGAAAATGTAAATATTACTACTATCATACCTGGATTTGAAGAACTGTACAATGCAATTTTGATAATTTACGAGTATGATGTCGCAGGGAATGATTACAACAATATTAATGATTACAAAAAAGTCATGCAGACGCCTTATTCATATTTAAGATTTATCTTCCGCCTCTTGCAGAAGTGTCTCAGTCATGAGAACTGGATGCCCAAAACGTGGAGTCTTTGTGTTATTTGACAAAAATAAAACACTTGAGAAATAATGAGATAAAAGTCTATCTTTATTCGATGTAAAAATAGACTACAGGAACTCCGCCACTATGAAATACTTGATCCTTTTTATATTGCACAACTCTCCGGAGTCTTGGAATAGATCTATACGTTGTTTCCCGCCTTGGGTTAAATGAATACCACTCGTTAGAATTGTTTCCAGTTAAAATTGTCCCATATAAGTGGATCGGGAGCATGAGTATGCTAATAAATCTTTAGTATTACGAGACACTAATTTATCAGATCATGCAACGGTTACTGTAAAAGATGCATACTTGTTTGTCAAGTGTAATTGGCAGTAGAACATAATAGTTGATCATTTATTCATTCTCTTTCTAATGGATAAAATACAATCCCAAATATAAAATGTCTTATCGTTATTTGTATATTTGGTTGTAGAAGATAGGTATCCATTATACATACACTATTTCTTTATACTCTTTATCAGCAGTATAATTATATCAATATGTAAGTAAATGAACCATTTATATTAATAGCTGTTCTATTCTCTCTCTGGGTAGTTAATCCATTGAGAGAACTATTAATATTAAGTTTCTTTTTCTTATAATTTTTGATCAGATCTGAGAAAATTCTCTTCTCGATCGGTAATATCGTAACTCAGTGGTATAGCATTCTGTATCCAACTGTCATTCGTATATCGTATTTAGGCCAATCATGCAATCTTTAATATAGAAGTATGTACTCGAAGTAGGAGAAGTTGTATAGCAGTATACAAGCGTATGCTGATATACAACATCAAAGGTTGTTTTAATTTCATAGTTTATTTATTTAAACGATTTTGCTTAATTATTCTTAAGTGAATCGTACTCAAATACGACAACAACATTTTAGTGTAAGGTTTCTTTGAAAAAAAAAAGGACCTATCCGCATATCATGCTGTAAGTTTTAAAGATGTCCTGGACAGGGTACAACAAGCTTCGATTTTTTTGTATCGTCGTTAAGCATTTGCAGAATTTATAATTTTCATTTTTCCCGGTTGTTGCCCAATGAAGGAGTGCGAATTTTAAGTGATGTATTATTGTCCAATCCTATTAATACTTAACAAGAGAGTTTCAGGTCCTGTCATCGGTCACGCAAACTGTTCTGGACAAGTTCGATTTTAACATCTGATACACACGAGTGTCAAATATCAGGTAAATTAAGTGTGGAGTAGGTTTTTATAATCCTTTTTCAAAGGTTTCTAGGAAAAAAAAAAAAAAAAAAGATGATGGTTACGTAACTATCAACCCATTTCATAACAGTAGAGCGCAATAAGGGGAGAAGAGAAAGGGGTTAATAGACCAGAGTGGGTTTGATATTTAACATTTGCTTGGCAATTTCACTTTTTTTTTTCTTTTTATCACGCACAAACTCGAGTTAAGCTTTTTTTAGCGGAGTATCTTGTAACCAAAACCAAAAAAAAAAACTCCCTGCAAGAAAAAGAACCCCCGCTTCCCTTTATACTTTTCATGTTGACTAGAGTTTTAAAGCGCACATTCACAACACAAGGTAAGTCTTCTTTGTTGTAGGAATTAAAACCATGAACTAAATCAATAGAAACAAGAACAGTGGATGCACAGTGTTTACCGTTAAAACCCACATGGTCGATTGGGTCGCTCATGGAGCCTGTTGACAATGGCATTTCCCAAGATCAATTTGAACGCTTATTAAGTTTATCCCGTCTCAAGTGTAAAGATCGTGAACAAGCCAACGGATTTAAAAAGGATATCGATCAACTTTCTCAATTTACCAAACATCTTCAGTTACATGACTTTAAAGAAGAACCTTTAACGCATATTTGGCAACAAGAAAAAGGACAACTTGTGCGAGAAGATAAAGAAACACACGTGGATGGAAGAGAATTATTGAAATATGCGAAAAAAAAGAGTGGTAACTTTTATGTGGTGAAAGGAACAATGCCTTCTTCTTGAAAATATATATGTGTGTGTTTGAGTGTGTTTGAGTGTGTTTGTGTGTGTGTGAAGAGAGAGAGAGAGAATAAAAAAAAAAACTGTTATTTTATCTATTTTTCTAATTGTCTAATTTGGGAGTACCAAGATCTCTCTTGGCATCTAAATCTTTCTTTGTTTGCTCTTCAATGGCTCTAATATCTTCAATGGTCAATCCATACCATCTGTCAGTCCAACAAAAGAGTTGTCTAATAATGGATGATGTAAGTCTATTTGTGTAACATGTCAATCAAAAACTTTTTTAATTACCTGTGGAACGTGGTGAATAAGTTATGAATAGTCTTTGCGATAAAGGACTCGGTTCTACTTTGAATACCAAACCATTTGAATTCAATATAGACCAACTTGTAACAGGTCATGACGGGTTCACAGGTCTTTTGCCAGTTAGGGTCAGTTAAAGGACCACGACCAGTCTTTTCGGAATGGTAAATTTTGGGATCTTCATCTGCCTTGTAATCTTTACTATCGATCTTGTCATGAGCGACATCAATAATAATCACATTACGCTTCTTGAGATCTTCCTTGGAAATATTGAGTGCGTTTTCCAACTCACCACGAGAACCATCCACATGGAGTGTTTCATACACAATAGAGAAAGCATCCTTCATATAACCATTCTTTAAAACTATCAATTGGGGGTAGAGGTTAATTGTCTTGGCAAAAGAAGGGGGAGATACAATCACTCCTTTCCTCAGCAGAAGGACTTTTTATAAATAGAAAAAAAAAAAAAAACTTACCAGTTTTACAGTAGGGATACGCATTCCAAGCCTTTAGATAGACACATATAATTAGTTCTCTCTCTCTCTTTCCAAGCTTTTTCTTTTTTTTACCTCTTCGTAAAGGTCAAGAGCACCAGCAGGTGCAACTGCACGAACCCAAGCAGGCACTTTAGAGGACAAGCGATAAATCTTTTGGGTGTATTGTCCCTTTTCGTTTGGCTTCTCATAAGGTTCGTTCTTTACCACCTCAACACCTTCTCCACCACCCGTTTGTTCCTTGGATGCTTGAGCAGTAGCATACAATTGAGCTATAAATATAAACGTGTCAATCTATAAAAGCCTTTTCTCTTTCATCTCTTTTACCGTTTTACCAACTTGGTATTCTGCTTCTGTACAGTTGTTGATGACACGGTATTCGTTAATAATCATTGTAATAGGTTATTTCTTTTTTTCTTGTTATAAGAATGAAAAAGAAGATGGAAATAAAATAAAAAAAAAAATAACTGTGGTTTTATTGGAGAGGAGAAAAAAAAAGACAGGAGCGGCCTTTCCGGATAAACCAATGACATACTATACAGTGTCGTCATCGACGATGGTTGATTGTTCCTCTACTGGAGTTGCTGTACTGATGAATACGCGTGGTTCGGATGGTTCCTCTTTCACCTCTTCACTAGGGACAGACACTCCATCGATAGCTACGGTGGGCTGACATGACACGTCCTGTTCTTGTTTGACATCCACTTCTTCTTTTACGGGTAAAATGGTCGCAGATGCCTCCTCCTCCTCCTTCACTACCACAGGTTCGTCCTTGACAACGGCAATCCATTGTTTCTTTTCTTCCAGTGTCACTACTTCCTTGGGTAAACCATCGGATTTTAACCAGATATAAAAGATGGGGTATTCAATGATGGTTTCTGATTTTAAGACGTCTTTAAAAGGTTGATGCAACATATCTGTGACATGGACGAAATGACCGCGCGGTGCCTTTTCCTTTTTCAATGCTACCACAAACTGTTCCATACCAGCACTGATGAAATCCTTTAATTGATGACGTGTGATACCAAAGTTGGATTTACCAATGGGCTTTTCTGCAAACAACAAGTTTTGAAAGAAGGCTTCGAATGGTTTGCCACTAGGGAATCTATCCATGTCTTGTTTTAATACATTATGCATTGTTACCCCCCAGTAAAAAAAAAAAAAAAAAAAAAAAAAACTTACGAGTGCTCTAGGAATCGTTCCTTCTTGTCTCCTCGACAGAAATTCACCTCCATAGACCAGAATATTTGTCTTAGACTGATTTTTTTTTTAGATGAGATTTTTTTTTCTTTTTCGTATGTATATATCTTTTGTATATTAGGACCTTACTTTTTACTGTAGTTGCTTTGATTTAATTTATGCCGACTCATTCCAGCAGGTAAAGAAGTGAAATGGATACCCATTTGATTTGCTGTCCTATTAAAAACTTTTGCTCTTGCCTCTGCTGCTTTCCCCTGTACACTTTTCGATGTGTCTGATCTACTTCTCGTCAGATTATCCGATTGTCTTGATACGTCTTCCAAATATGTATAATCTAAATTTGTCCACGATAAGTTTCATTTTTTTTATAATGACCAAAAAAAAAAAAAAAAAAAAAATCCTTACCGCTCATCATGGTGCTTTCATTGTATTGTCGCATGGGCACGTACGCTGTTTTATCTCGAATACCAGAACAGGCTGCCTCTGATTTATGTAAACGTACACAGGTTAATGAACATGTATGGGTAAGACACCTTGGACATGTATATTTCCAATCCACTGTTTTACACACTTGACATTTCTTTGCTTGTTCAATTTCTTCAGGTGATAAAACAACGGTCGGTGCTGGTGGTGCTGGTGGTGGTGGTATATCGTCTTCCATTTCAATCTCTGGGTCCATGTTACTACTACTATGACTACTTTCCACCGGTTGCTCCATATCCGTGTCCTGTTGCTCCTCTGTTGTGTAGAGTGTAGAGTCCATGGTGTCTTCATCTGTATTATCACCCTCTTCCATACTACTATCGATCACAGATTGACTATCCAAAACGGGTACGTCCAAAAGAGGTTTCGTGTTATTTTCGAGTGGTGGTGGTGATGCTGGAACGGATCCACTGTTGGTATCAAAGGAAGCGATGCTTCCGGCCACCGAGACATTACTAATGTTATCCAAAGAATCGGTGACTGATTCGACATCGGTGCCTGCTACAGCTGTCATACTGGATGTGTCTTCGGGATCTAGACACATGCTTGGATCTATGTTTGACGTGTCTGGGTTCATATCTAACGGCGATGGACGTGTACAAGGATCGGTGGGTGTATTAAAAGTACTAGATTCCGTGGTCGTTCTAGAGGAGACGATCTTGGATGGATCCTTAATCAAGTCAGTCATTGGAAGGAAGGAAAAGTATAGTTTGTTTGAGTAAAAAAAAAAACTTTTTTTTTATTTGTGGAAAGCAAGTTTTTTTTTTTTTTTTGAGTGAAGTGACCGGACCGGAGACTGAAAACGATCCAAAAAAGCATCCAAAATGGCGTTATCACTGATCAGAATTACTTCATCTTTTTTTTATTGTATATAATATACCCTCCCATGTCGACAAATCACGCAGAAGCAAGCAGTTCAAAAGTAACAGCCACAAGGAAACCTTCTTTAGAATTTGCAGAGAAGGTACAGATCCATAAGGCCAGTCGGTTAGAGAATTACTTGGATTACTCTATCCTTGTTTCAAACAACATTAGTATGGCAAGAGATCAACTTGCCAATGAACGAAACTGGCTAACTTGGTTTCGACTCTCCTGTACATTGATTATTCTTGGTAATAGCATGGATAATACATGTAGCTTTTAACTTGACTAAAAAAAAAAAAAAAAAAAAGGGTTTAGTATACTCGTGCAGTTTCGTTTACCTGATCCATCCGATCCAACTCCAAGAGTAGCCACGATGGCTGATACAGGCAACTCGAATCGACCGGTAGGATTTATCTTTTGTGCCATTGGTTTTTTATGCTTTATTGTGGGTCTTGGTAAATACTTTAAAAATCAACGATTACTCGTCAAACAAGCAACGTACGTAGAAGCGGGTTGGGGAAGTTATGTCGTGGTTGGTATCTTGTTTTTATTTGTATGTACAGTCATGATACTTGCCTCTTCAGCAGATTAAAAGCGGTTCCCTCTCGTCTATATGTATATGCCACACTTTTTTTTTTTAATAAAAAAAATAAATTAAAAAGTGCTCTTACTACGTATACATGGATACCTGAAGTGTTGAATTGTATACAGTAAATATATGGTCATTTTATGCAATAAAAAACTAAAAATAGCATAACAGCATAAAACTAAAAAGAAATTTCTTGAGTAACACGAACCCTGTCTCTCAAGGAAATTGACACATAAGATGTACATACATAGCCTTGTAAGTGTGCTACCACCCGAAGCTTAAGCGTTTTAGTATCGAGAGCTGCTTTTTTTTTTTACTCTTTAAACGCTCACATACTTTTTGTTTATGTTATGTCATCAATTCACATGATATGCGAGAACCAATCATATTTTTTCTGGCAAGTAGAGTATAAAATGCTGCGCAAATCCTCTTTTTTCTCCTTTTCTTTTCTTTAACCGAGGCAGTTTATCGTTGTTAATACCAGGCGGTAGTTCATTCACCAAATGGTTTAGCCTATTAATCGCGTATGGACGATGCCTTTTGTCAGGGTTACGGCTTTTGATGAGACATGCGACACCTTTTTTTGCTAATAGGTAGAGTGTATTGAACTGGGGGGGACGGTCCCCCTCCTCTGAAGTGGCTTTCTTAACCAGTTCAATTTTACACCTTCCCTGTGTTGACACAAAAGAATGTATTTCATGTTGGTTCTTACTTTTTACTCTTTATACCAAAAGATATTTTTATTCAAAAGGTTTCTTTTTCCATCTGTTTTCGCCTGAGTAAAACGAGTTGGGGGTTCTCTTTTTTTCTCTTTTCGCTCACTTTTTTTTTCTAACCCTAATAAAAAAAAGATGAAGGGAATGCATAGATACAAGCCTCCGCGTGGCCGTTCCCGGGCAACACTTTTCTTTTAAAGTGGCTAATGTGTATCTTTTCTTTTAAAAAAAAATCTTAATAAAGTATGTGCTTTTAAACTATTTTTATTTCTTGTCTTTCAAGATCCTTTGAATGAGACTGTTTAACAAATGTTTCTACAATTAAAGACTGGTGTAGAGACAGAGTTTGAAGAGTTTAGGGACGCTTTTGCATTAAAGGCACCAGCTCAAAGGTTACTCGACATGCCAATGCTACAGAAAGACCCACCAGGTTCACAAGAGATTGGAAAGGCTATTATTTTAGAAGCTTTAGATATGTGTTGGTCCAAGTAGTCTTGAATACAAGAGTTTTGGTACATGTCTTTAATAAGGTCGTGTTTAGACACTTGTAAGTTTCTCACACTTTTATCTTTTAAATTTAGACCAAGATCCCAGCCTGAAAAGACAAGTTCTTTTATACCGCAGGTTCAACAAAACGCGTAAATTTGCCAGGTATAAATACATTGCCATCCATGGTATTTCTGGTGGCCACTTACAAATTTTAGTACATTTTTAAGCGCACAGTTTGAGGATGCATAAGTTGATGAGATAAGACAGAGTTTTCATCTGGTCAGCCCTGTGTGAATTTAAAACTTTGCAGTGCTTTCTTGATACTTGAATTAGGTTAATTCCATTTATATAATTTTCGGATAGTTGAATAAAAGGCATTGTCAATCCTACAACCCATAATAAAGGAATTCGGTTATGTCTCACTTGAGACTTCAGTCCTTACCCAACATCAGGGATATCCTCCATGCTAACATCATTCGATAGACGGCTGTGCCTCTAATTATAACCTTACTTGGTAGTTGGCACTGCTGAAAATGCTCTAAGTGCCAAATTTTAAGGTTAAATGGATGCTTTATCCTGTATTGAGTTCATGATCACATGAGGTTCTTGTGTCACAAAATAAACTGGTCAAGTGAACCACCGTTTTCTCGAAAAGCTTCTTCATAATTTTGCTTTCGCCGCTTTCGACATCCTATTATCGAGAAAAATGGAAGAACTCTATGACTATTCTCAACATAAATATTGTATTGTTATGGGTAGGCAACTTTTTTTTTTCCATAACCGACATGCTTACTTTGTGTAGAATTAAACAATGACACCATCGAATCTAGCACAATGATCTTTAATAGACCTGACACCGCAAGTGAAAAGTTAGTTGACATTGAGACAGCAAAATATACCCCCCTTTTTTTTACAGAGCTTTTTTTTTTAAGTAATCCAGACTCGATCAGTACGTCAATTTTATATGACACTGTAAAGGAAACCATTATTGCCAGAGGTGACTTGGCTAATAAAAAAAACCAGGATTCAAAAGGACACGGAGAAGGCGTTGTTTATGTGCGTAACATTTTTAGCGAGCTCACTGATGTTGATTCAAAATCTGAGCAAAAGTCTGTGCATCATGCGATTCTTCTCCAGGAAGCCTCATTTGTGTTACAAGACATACTGTATTATCGTAACCAAGAATTGAATGGCTCAAATATAGACTTTTACTATGCTTTGATTCTTCCAACGAGTTGGGATTATAGAATAAGAGAAAAATTGTTTCGGCCTTTATTCGTAAGAGCTGGTCTTATCCTCGGAAATGATGGTCAGGGCAGGTTGATGTTTTTTTCAAAGCTAGAGTCAACTTTTCAAAGTATGCAGATACATCCAAGTCTCGGAAATACCCTAAAAGTAAAGCTTGGTGATCAGTATATTATATGCACACTAGATAATCAAAGTACATGCTCTGTGGATTTAAAATTGATATCAGCTCAATATCCTGCTTTCGCAGTAGAAGGAAGAAAATTGACCCCACAATTATTAAAACAAGTTCGTTTTGAAATACCTTATCGATTAAAGGAAAAACGATTGTCACTAATAGCATGTTTGGAAAAGCATTGTGGTACTACCTTGCCGTCGGCGTTTATTGACGTAATGCTCGAAGCACTCAGTCAAAGGTTAGGAGACTTTGACAGTTCAGTAAGAGTCGAAGGGGGATTAGAATTGAAAAGAAAATTGTTAAAACAGTTTTTTTTATGTAGGTCCCAATCAAACCATTTCAAAGTGTTCTTTTTGACCGGCCATTTCGACACTTAAAACTACATCACCTTAGTCTATTCGGATTAAAAGGAAAGAGACTCGGTGCTATTCAATCAATCACTTTACAAGACATACTTAAACATTTGTCTGGTCCTGCTGAAAAAGTCTTTGAAAATGAAATGGATAAATTTCTTGCAGGCACGATCAATATCAAAACCAAATCAATGCTCATTTTTTATACAAGACAAAAACGAAGAGTTTCCCAATCGTCAGGGTTACTCATATTGATTGAAAAGTGGTCGAAAACGTATAGCAAAGAACAAAAACAATCTTTCGAATTAATAGAAAATGATGGAGTCCACAGATTCTATTTATATAACCGACATGTTTCCAATAGAAAGCTTGTCAAAAACCAAATGGAAGAATTTAATATACGCAGACATCCGACCATACTACCCAATGATACAGCTATTGAACAATCCAAAGGTTGTTCAAGACCTATTATTTTGATCAATTTCGGTAAACTCATTTTTGTTTTTCTATCTCCTGTGTATTGAACTAAATGTTTACAATTGAGCAGACATATTGCCTACTCAAATCAAGACTATCTTTACATACCTAGACAAAGATAGACAAGTTGAACAAACGCAGAACATTGAATGGTAACAGTGATAGACGATAATTTTATTGTATAGGAAAATGTAAACTAAGATTTATTGCATTGCATAAAAGCAATATACAACCATTGAATGGTTTCATCACGCAATCAAAGTTATATCAGAAACGAATACTGCGCATAACAAATAGGTGAAGCTAATTTTTTTTTTTTAAAAAAAAAGCCGCTTATTTTAACTGACATTTCTAAATTGTACTTTTCAGACAAAAGTTGCGTTTGGAAAAACACTTTGGTGGTTATATTAAATTGTACTCAGATTGCAACAAACAGAATTGGATGAAAAAATTTTTAGTGGATCCAGCATCCGAATTACTTAATCTGGCTTTCGCAGATGAGCGAAGTAGAAAGACTTTAGCAAACTATGATAGGATAAAAACAAGCAAAAATCGGCCAAAGGAAATCCGAAAATTGTTTGTTTCCTCAAATCCAAACTTAGTTGAACAGCTTACAGCAAACCTTGAAATAAACGATTTTTTTAGATTGAATGATAACAGCTGTGGTGCAGAAGACGATTCATTTACTACCTGTCATCCAGGTTACATCTATTTTTTTATGATCCTATATCTGCATTATCTTAACAAGCGGTTGGGTGAAAAATTAGATAACATATTAGGACGAAATTGGCAAGGAAATAATCTCTGGTATGGCGTCTCGATTGATAAATATCTTTTGGAGACTGTTTTCGGCTCAAAAAAGAAATTGGAAAAATTGTTTTATGCCGGTGGTATACTTCAACAAGATGACACGCTTCGAAAATTAAAAATCTGTACGCGTGGAGAGGAAATTCTACCAGCTATTCAACAAAAGCTATTAGGTTTGAATTTTAAGTTGAAATCATACTTTGTTGTTGCGCAAACATTTTCAACGCATATTCAGCTTAGTTTACACCAAACTGTGAAACTATCTTCAACCGGAGAAGATGCAGCTTCGATTATTATTCAAGATGAAGTATTACATATCGAAGATGTATACGATACACTTTGTAAAAATTTCATGAAATGCATACAAACCAATAATTGTCAACTTAAATATTGCCCCGCGCACACGAATGAGCAAGATAAACGATATGATTTTAAATTATTTGAAACATATAGCAATATATATCCAAATTTAAAACCATGCCTTGTTAAATTGGTAGGTTGATATGCAACTGACGTCAAAGTTTATTAACCACTTTTTTTTTATCAGTTGGAACAAAACAGGGTAAATTTGGACATGAATTCTAAAATACAGTTGAACATGAACAGCAAATGCGCTTGTAGTATCACTATTTTTCTTCGTGACATAATTGAAGTATATCTTGTGTCAGTGGTAGAAAATATGGCAACAGATATAGTGGCTTCTTTAACAAACAAGATGTTATTTGGAAACTATGTGCCGAATTATATTTTTGTGTTTGGAGATCCGTTTAATCTGACTTATGGTTCCGAGATCCACACCGCATACACCATGATAATGCAAAAGGCGATGGATGATGGCATACACTTGAAAGAAAAAGATACAAAGGCATATATATTAAGAGATTCTATTTTCCAATTACTGGAGCTGCTTGTGCAGAGAAAAAAGCCATACTTGTTAGAAAGGTTTGTCACTGGAACGTTGTGCCAAGTCTCAAGTGAAACATACGCGCTGCGGGTTAATACTACAGCATCAGGCTTGTTCTACCCTTTCCTTCAAATAAACAGTAATGGTGATACCGGAAACATTATTGGAAGGGATGGTAGTTTCCTTGTATTTATTCAGAAAGGAAAACCAATCTCAACAAAGGGTTTAAAAATTCAAATCTTTGTAAGGAGCTACGAGTTCGTCACTGGTTAGTTTGCTAGATATCATAATTAGTCTTTTATTTGGTACTAAATAAGATTCACCTCTTTTTAGATAAGAATCCGGAATTAACTATTCTTCAATTGGATAGTTCAAAACTTGTTGTTCCAGAGATGTATGCTCTGTTCCGCTACGACACGCCTGGTACAAAGTATCGGATATATACTAGTAATTTGGCGGATTCAGTTGTCAGAGTTATGGTGGTAGAATGTAAACAAATCAGCTATAATTTATCAATAAAAATATCAAAAGGATGTATGGTCAGTATTAAGAGCTATATTGGATATTCTTATTACAGTTCCCTTAATATCATTGAGCCATTGACACTCGCTTATATTTAACATATCATTGCTTCAATAAAATCATTTAAAACCTCCATTCTCAGGGGAGCAATGCTTTTTTTAAGATTTCATAAAGGTATTAAAAGTACCTTTTAAGAAGATACGAATATATAGTGGTGGTGCTGAGAGGGATTGTAACTGTTGTCTATTCAAGTACATAATAAATATATACCCAAGATACAAGAAGAACACTTTTCCAACAAGTTTCTTTCATTGCTGACAAACATTGCAATATCTTTGTACGGCTTTTTGTTCGTTCGTTTAGTTACCATTTCTTATTAACAAACAAAGTAAGTACATGGACCTTATGAAGCAAGAGTAGAGTAGGGAGATCACGGCCGAACTAAAAAATCACTGTTGGTTCTCATCCGTTACATAATGCGTAATTTGTTTGCCATACTAAATGAAGACATATTAAATAAATAAAGTCATGACGTTTAGCTTATTCAACTAATAAAAAAATGTTTTTGATGTCAAATTCCTTAACAGTCGATAATTTATCATACAAGCAAAAGAAGGTTTTTATCAAAATGATTAACTCAAGAGATTTGAAAAGTTTGGTAAAAAAAAAAAAAATTAAAGACGAACTGAGAATTGAGTATGTGCTTTCTAACAACAATTTTTGTAAAGTCCCTTACTCATCACCCCTACTTTTTTTTACAAATTTTCCTTTAGTGCGACTATAGCCCATATCCTTCAATGTGCGCCGAAGCGTTTCTTCACACACTTTAATGCCGAATGCGGACAATCCCAATCCCAGATCATTATAGGTGACAGATGGGTTCTCACTTATGACGCTTTCCATGTGCTTTCGGACTGTCTCATTCATTTTTTTAGATCGTGTTTTTGGTAAAGGACTATTATTTTCGTCGATTCTTTTGAGGATTTTCTTGACAGTAGGTCGTGATAGTCCAATGTAGTTTACAATGATTTCCAAAGTGAACCCTTGCTTATAAAGTTGATCGATTTTCCACAGATCCTCTTCGTATTTCGGATCAGGCTTACTATGAAGTGTTCTTTCTGAATTTTTTGAGGACATATTGAAGTGGGAAAGAAATGCGAGAGTTTCATAAGAAAATTAAAAAAGAGGTCTTAAATCTGACGTGTCTGTGGGTGACTGTATGTACGTGACGTTATCAAAAATTCATTTCCTAATTCATCCATGCAGACATGTCCCTTTTACTATACCAGCTATTGGATAACTTTGAATATTCAGTAATAAACAGGGAAAAAATACGTCGAAAGTTTGAGTTATTGGATCTATATCTACTACTGAAAAGATCTGATCAGCATTATCCTACCAGATCTCGTATGTAAAATCAACTACATAGCTATGCACTTCCTTAAGTAAATTGAACCAAAGCTTATAAATCATCTATAACAGTTACCTAATAGTTCATATATATAGGCATTCCATTTAGGCTCACACGTAGCGGCTACTTTTAGCTGGGCAGAGGTTGTTGTCTGATTAGGCTGAAGAGAATTTGGTGAACTAATTAATCAAGTTGATGATAATATAAGCCGATTGGTTTGAAGGTAAAGTCTAAAAACAAATAGGTACGCTTGTAAAATTGCTCGAAATAGTGCTTTTTTCTGTGCCTTCTGTTTGTTAGCACTGATTTATTACTCGTAAATTTTGACATAGAACATCATTTTCTCTCCCCGTTTAACTACTTTGTAGATAAATCCAACCTGTACATAAATACGTGTAGATTATAGCTTTAAATAAGCATTATTTCTTAATCAATTAATTGTCATTCAATAATAGACTAATTATACACTGTCTAAGATAATAAAATAAAAAAAGTCCATCTTGTGCTAAAAGTACTCATGAACCTGCATCTAAAGCACTCAGTCCTAAACCGATTCATTTATTTAATCAATTCCTTAGAAACCTTTCATACGTTCTTGCAACATAAGCCGATAGCAGTAGTTTCGAATCAACAACTTTATCAACGTTGCAAGATACATTGGCATTTCAACAGCATCAAACAGCACATGATGATGAGCTCATGGAAGAAGAATTCAGTGCTTTTGAAAGAGTCTCACTAATATAGCTAATAACGAACGTTCGGATAATTTTCTTGGAGGTAGCCAAGTGACTAAGATTGTGTAGTGCGTTGAAGTTGAGTTTTGGTACCATTACCGACAGCAATAAAGGTCCTTCTGTTTGCTCAAATTTTATGTCATCATCAACGGCAAATTGCTTGTTTATGATAAAAACCCGGGCAACTGTATCCGTAGCACGATAAGATTACATTAATCTAATATTTATTGGAGTAATTAGGGAATAAGGCATGCCGTTTGAGCTAAAGGGGTTATCGGTATTGCTTTTTGAAGAAAAATTAGTTAGACAAGTAGAGGAATCAGAATTAATTTTATGGAAAATATATTTTTATTGAAAAAAGTATTATTGTAATTTATTTCTAATTCGTCATTATCATGAATGATAAAGTCATCTAAACTACTAAGAATCGCTTAAAACTCGTTTTCATCCTCTAAGTAAATTTTTTGTTCATCTTGTACATATTCTTGATTATTTCTGAAATAGGAAGAAGAGCTTAAAAAAGACGTTGGTTGATTAAGTTTGAAGTGAGCACCGAATCGATTAATAGGTTTTGATTGGACCTTTGTTAACGTATTGTTATTAAGAGAAAGAGAAATGAACAATCAAGGGTTCGTAAAAGAATCAATGATTATTTATAAAATGTGTCATTAAATTAACAAGAAGCTTTGATCAAGACTGTTTTAAGTATGAAATGGTACATCAAAAGAGAGAGTTGTTTTACTATACATGGTCTCAATTACATTATGATGGTTCCGGTTAAGGATGTTTCTTAACGAATTTTAATAAAAGTAAGTGATTTTTTTTGACGGTGTTAAGTGTGTACTGTTTCTGATTTTGAAAAATAATAGAAGCTGGTGTTCACACAAGGTCAGAAATATATAGAATGGTTCACTAGATAAGGATGGTTTCTTATATATTTATACAAAAGAGAGAAAGTAGATATAGAAGAGTTTTTATTGAGATTGTTTAAAGTACGTAAATTACTATCTATAATGAGTTAAATCTTTTTCTTACAGCATCTCTGGAGGAGGAGCCGGAAGAAGAGCCTGAAGAAGAGACAGAAGCGGAGAAGGAAGATGAGGAACCAACCGAAGAAGATGAGGAAACCTTAGAACTAGCGAACTTGGTTTGAACTTCCTTCAGAGTGTTCTCTAAGGGACCGAGTGATTGCTGTTGATGGCTTTGGCCACACGGTTAAAGTTGCTATAAAACTCATAGAACTGGACTTCGCTGTATGTGGCGTACTTGCTAGTGGAAGTTGAATTACCGAAATTTTGCTCCTTACATGTACTGCACCAAAACGTTCTTGGACCTTGTCTTGAAATTCCTTGGTAGGGAGCGACGAGAGAAAGCAAATGGTGAAGAAGAAAGTGTCATTTGAACTTTGGCGTCGTGAACGCAAGCATCAAAACGATCCATATATTGGGCCAGCTGCTCAGTGGTATACATGCGCATGCTGTGCAACATGAAATTGATCTTGATGAGACCAAGACAATCGACAGGATCGAATCTACATTCTAAAGTGGCCTTGGCTTCAGTCCAGGTCTTAGGCTTGTTTCTTGACGAGGACTTGAAATTTTGAATGAACCAAGAGTTGTAAGAGTTGTTGTTTTCGAAGCTGGCCTCGAGATGAAAAAGCCAGTGGAGTTCGATGTTCACACCATAGTTCAGATAGGCACGTTCAAACTTCCTGATAAAAGTTCGAAAGGAATGGATGAGTAATGTGATCTGGGAAAGAAACATCGAAGACAGGAATATCCTTTGGCAGGAATATCAAAATGATCCTTCTTTCCTTTTCCAGATTGAGCTGTATTAAAGGAGAGAACTTGAGCTCAATTTGCCAAAACATTAAAAGAGGTGTCATAAAAGGAAGCATACAATGAATTGGAGAAAAGCAGAGCATCTTTGTAGTAATTGAGATCATTTGCAATAGCACAATAAGACGATATTCACGGAGCTCGAATTCAGGAATGGTAGTTGTAGTAGCTAGCATAACAGCAGATTCTCGCTCACAGAGGGCTTTGTAACTTGAGATACAGATCATCACATTGCCAACATTCTCATCAAATGCATTACGCGTAAAAAATGACCCATATTCAGAAGGTACATGAGCATCGACTGGAGTCATAGTTACAAGAGCAATCAAAAAGGATTTCCAAAATTTTACTTTAACCATGGGATCTGACTGACCTGAAACCAATGGGGATCAGACTTGGGAAAGTTACCAGGGATAGGAAAATAATAGAGGAAATAAGTCTAAGAGAAGAATGGGGAGCTAGAAACAGAGTTGTCAAGATTGAGAGAATTCAATCTTTTTTTTTTTAAAAAAAAAAAATGCGATTGGTATAAATACCACAACCACTCTTTTCAGAACATATAACAGTAATACAAGTCACTGAACCTGACAAACAGAAAAATATAAATAAAAGGATTGTTTTCATATTCGAATTGAACTTATTTTGCCTTTACAGACATCGGATATTGTAGTAATAACTGAAATAAAAAAGAGAAATAAAATGAAAGTTATGAAGGATTATAGAGTCTTATGTCTTTACTTGAATTATAACTATTCCATTTTATGTCCCTTTTTTATCTCAATTATCACTGTAATATTCGATGTCTGTAAGACAATAATTTTTAAACAAGTAAAGAAAATAAAAATTCCTTTGTTAAATGCTTGCATATATATATGTTTATAAAGTCGGAGATTATTGTATTATAAATGTTCCGGCATTTTCAATAGAGTGGTTGTTACTATGGTGAGAGACAGCCATGCAATACTCAGTATACGTTTATGTTTCTATCATTGATGAACTCAGGCCTTACATGAATTAGCACACCCCACTTCTGGATGGAATCGTTTTAAAAGGAGACCATTCTTTTAACGTATGCACACATCAGAATTCATATCCAAACAACACAAGCCAGCAATTAACTTTTTTTTTAAATTATCAAGCATATGGCAAAATCAATGGGGTGTCAACTTTTTCATGTCTGTATACCCTCTTAAATGAATATGAAAAATTCATCTTCAAGTACTTGCGTCCACAAAATCATTGGAACACTTGGCTCCTTCGAGTTATAGTAAGTATGGCCAATTTAAAGTGACCTGGTGCTACACATTGTTACTGGCTTGTTTTAGTGTAAAAGCGGTAACGTGAAATGAAGATATAAGAGGGAAATGCTACGACGAATCAGTTATCTGTGTCTTCGAAGGAGTATAGTAAGATACAACTGTTAAGACTATTCAGTGCTGATTTATAAGAAGGGCTTTCGTACAATTATAGTAGTTATATATATTTATAATGAAACCAGGCTTATATGAATAAGACTAAATCAGATTATAGTAAAGAACAAACTAAAGATTTTTATTAAATAATTTTATGGTCCTTTTATAAGAAAAGGACCAAAAAGCAGTAAAAAAAATAAGACATCTGAGGTCAAAAAGGACCAACAGAAGAAGAAAATGGTGGTCACCCACTAGATTGTCTGTGCACGCTTTGATTAATTTATCTTGATTTTGCATCACTTGATAAAAAAATAAAAAAAAGGTTGCTAATCACGTCTCTCCCTTTTTTTTCCCTCCTCATAATTCATACACAATGATTCAACAGAAACAGGGCAAAGTTACTGTGAATATTATTTACCCTTGCTACATTTGTGCTGAAGAGTTTACTACGGCTAATACAGTCATTCAACACGTCAGGAAAGCTCACGGTTACATACTGGTAGCACGACACCCGGGTCATCGTCGTCCTGCCGATGGGTTTTATATGTACGCGAATAGAAGAGACGAAATATGGCAGGTACAGCATTGTGGTTGCCCCTCTTGCTGGTATCATACACCCAAGATCAACGGTGTGGAACAGCTCATGAAACATATCATGGAGGTACATAAACCAGAACGCATAGAAGGATTTATCGATCCTGATAGGGAAGAGAATGAACTGATGGACAGTAGTGAAGAAGAGGAAGAAGCACCCGTAAAAGGAGAGGAGGTGGAGTCAGAGGCCAAGATCAAAATCAGCGAGGAAGAGGAAGCACAGTTGTTGGTGATGCAAGCCATTAAGCAAAGACTGGATGATATCAATGGCTTGTTCAAGACAGTCCTTCATGATGATAACTCACACGATAAATAAATTTGGGAGGGGGGGGGGGAGCTCACACACAAAAAATATGTATATTTTTTTTTGTGTTTGCTATACTACTAAAGGCAATAAACATCATCATTCACGTATTTTTAATATAATTATTTTTATTTCAGTAAGGTAAATCACTATTATTATTTAGTTATACAATGTATAAGAACGTTGAAGGCCGTTTAAAAGGTAAGCTTAACATTAGCATGCCTTTTGTGTTCGTTAGTCTGATTATCAAATGCAATAATCTGTTTTGTCTTTACCGGCGCTCGCTGCAAATACGCTATCATCCAATTTTGTCAGCACAAGCGTTTTATCATTTTAATAAACTATTTCTTTTTTGGCATTTTTGAGCTCTCCCCACAAATATTCTGTTTTGTCTATTTGTTTATTTGTGTAATCCTTTTTTTGCATGTGTAACAACATGATAGAATATTTCCTATAAATAAGCCCAGTTTTATCTTGACTAAAATCTGGTTTTCTAATAACTTGTAGACTCCTTTGTGTTTCCCTCAACTTTTATAATTTTTGTTTATCTTAAGTCTTTACTTATCATATAAAATTTAAATCAAAGTTCATATTTCACACTCGACTTGAATCTCTTCATTATCAAACTGTACATAAGATACTGTTTATAATAACATAATTGTTTTCCTTTTAATCTTGGCAATTACTTTATATTCATACTGCTTACGCCCTCTTAAAATCATTGCTGATTATCTTTTTAATCTTAAACTTTAAATTATAAGATTTCTTAAGTTCACTACTTCTAGTCTGGTGCGCACTTTCATACATACTTTATTATTAACATTATTGTTAATAACCTACATCTGCCTTATCGTTAAGAACTATTATTAGTGCCTTAACAGCTTTTAAAAATGCAAGAACTTTTCTATACAGACACTGCTCTTGGTGATCGATTTTTTCTTTTTTTGGAATCAGTGATACCTTCTTTGCTCAAAGATGTTATTCACATAAAACCAACTTTGACAGAACAAGTCGATTCGAATGGCTCGCCCAAAAGTTACCCTATATTTCTACTACATCAGTTTTATCTTGACTAAAACCTTGATTTTTATTTATATAATTTATAATTAGTTTCTCAGCATTTTTCATTTATTTTGTTTATAGTCTAACATTTGATATCTCCCGCGCACGACCGAAAGTTTTTTTTTTTTTGTAGAACTAAACACTGATAAAAAAATGTAAGCATCTATCTGTCAATCGCATTATGACGACTATAGCATTGATAAAATATACATGTTCATATTTATCAAGATATGCACTTATCTTTTTTCAAAAAAAACAAGCGATAAGATAGATATGCACGTTTTGTTGTGGTCAGCATACAAGTTTTATTTTTGTAAAAAAAAACAGTAATTTTCTATAATGGTTGTACATGGAATAAAAGCATAAAAAAAAAAAAAAACTAAGAGCACTCTGATTTTTTCTTTTAGACAAAAATTTTTTGAGTAAATCATCCACATATCAAATAGACTGTGCTTTTTTCATTATGTATACTTGAAATCGAGCCATGAATCAAGGTTTTAAAAAAAGAAAGGGCTCAGTTGCTTGTCAGCCCGGAGATTCAAGTTTTTTTGCGGGCTTACAAATCAGTATGGGGGGGGGGGAAGGGCATTTTTTACGTGAGCACTGTGCAACACAAGTTCTCTTTTTGTCATCTCATAAATTCTTCTTTTTTCTTTTTTCTTTTTTTTTCTTTATAAACATAACCTTATAAAAACATGTCTTGGTGGGGTCAAAGTCCTTTTGATGAAGTTGTTGGTAAGAAGTCGATTCCCACTTTTTTTTTTGTTAACAAGCTCTGAAAACTCACCCGTCTTGTTATAAAAGAAAAAGCAACTTCTGAATTATTACCTGGAGGTCAAGAAGACCTTGTCTTAAATTTAGATATTAGCGACCAAATCCGTAGCAAAAAAATCAATGCCAAGGATGCCATGCATTCATTCAAACGTCGCTTAGCACACAAAAACCCCAATGTTCAATTAGCCACACTTTCTGTAAGTTTATCTTATGAGGGGGTGCCAAGCACTTTTTTTTTTTTTAGAAAAAAAAAAAACTCATATGTTATCCCCTTAGCTTGTAGACACTTGTGTTAAAAACGGTGGTGATATATTTGTTAGAGAAATTGCATCGAGAGAGTTCATGGATGAGCTCGTTTCCATCTTGAAGTCACCTGTAAGCAAAAAAAAAAAAAAAAAACCTAACTCCATTTGTTTTTTCATTTCAAGTCCAACTTATACACACACACATGTAATTTTAGAATGGATGCAATCCTGATGTAAAGAACAAACTCACTTCGGTTATTCAAACATGGGGTTTAGCCAGTAAAAACAAGCCCGTTATTAGTTACATGTACGATACCTATAGTCTACTCAAAGCCGAAGGAATCCCATTTCCTCCTGTCAATGAAAATATCGATGGTATCTTGTTAGAAACTTCAGCTGTAAGAGCATACTTTTTTTTTTGTTTTAAAAAAAAAATGATCACGTCATGGAACGTAAACATCTAACTCTCTCCCTTTTTTCTGTAAAAAAGGCTCCTGAATGGTCTGATTCAGATGTATGTGATAGATGTCGTACAGCCTTCACTTTAACCAACCGAAAACATCATTGTCGTAAATGTGGAGGTACATTTTGTAATATATGTTCAGCAAAGACTGTACCTTTACCTCAACTGGGCATTCATGAACCGGTACGAGTATGTGATGGTTGTTACATCAAGTTAAAATTGGAAAAAGTATCAGGTACCACTCCTCCTGTCCCCCTTCCCAAAACTACGACATCTACTACCACCGCCACCGCCGCCAGCAGTAACTCAGTTGCTACTTCTGCTGCCGCAGGGTCTGGAGAAGAATTTGACGATGATATCAAAAAAGCAATCGAACTTTCATTAAAGGAAGCGGAGCAACAAAAAACCGGGTATAGTAATGGTTATGTGGCACCTCAACCCAAGACAGTTGCCCCCATCCCTGCTGCTGCTGCTGCGGCTACGGTGGAAGAGGATGATGCGGATTTAGCTGCAGCCATTGAAGCTTCTTTACGAGACATTGAAATATCCAAACATGGAGATCATGCCCGACCTCCCATTGCTTCTGCTGCTGTCAACAAGAATGAATTAACACCTGTTGAAATGGAAAATATCTTGTTATTCTCGACATTGATGGATCGTGTCTATGCTTCGGGTGGGGATATCTCCAATGATAGACAGATCAATCAATTGTACACACAAATCGGTTCTTTGCAACCTAAATTAGTTGCTAACTTGGATGAAATTATTCGTAAACGTAACACATTTATTGAAATGCATGAGAAATTGAATATGGCAGTGAAAGCCTATGATCGTCTCTTGGAAGAAAGAATCTCGAGTGTAAATAGTAGTGCTTATATACCTGAACAACAGTATCAACAACAACCCTTGTATCATCAACCTCAACATACCATGTATCCACCTCCCCCTACTGCTGTTGGTGGTACCGTTCATACGAATCCCACTGGCAGTAGTGGTGGAGATCATTACTATCAGACAAGTGCTCCACCTCAAGATCCTTATTACCCTCCTCCCAATGACCCTTATTATGCTGCTAATAATCAAGATATGAGCCATTACTACTCGGCTCCACCTCATTACCAACAACCTCCACAAGAACAACAACAACAATATCAACACCAACCACAACAACAGCAGCAACATCAACAACAACAACAACAACAACAACAACAGAAACCACCTGTGGATGATGCTCCTTTAATTGACTTGTAATAAAGAAAAACCATGCTTATGTGTGATATCATTCCGCACTAGTCAGAAAAAAAAAAAAGTTCCTTCTATATGTAAACTGTCTTCTTTTTTTGAACAAAATAATGCGAAACAAAAAAGAGTTTCATTTTGGGGACAGTCACGTCCCGCACTAGGTTTTTTTTATTTTTTTTATTTTCCCCCATAAAACCGCAGTTGGGAGAGAGAGAGAGGGGGAGGTGTTTTGTTCTTTTTATTCAGTGTTTATTTATTCTATTTTAGGCCTTTTACATTCGCCTACAAAAGCAGCCCCTTTCCTCCAAAAAAAAAAAACAGCATAAAGTACAACACACGAAAAAAAGATGGGTAGACGTAAGGATTACATGGACGATGGGGATGACTCTTCTGATGAGGAGTCAGGTCGAATCAACTTTGATATTACAGAAGACGACCTTGAAGCGGAAATGGCAGGGTTTGCAGGACTTGGACAACGTAAACGACATCACCGAAATGACGACGAGAGTAGTGACGAGGACGATAGGCCACAAAGAGGAGGACTTGGTATGAGTGGATTAGGACCTTCTTTTCAACCCGCTACACCACAAAAGAAAGAAACTCCCACCACACCTATACCAAGTGAAGAAACCCAACCCAAATCACGTCTTAAAAAACCTGTCACCAGTGCAGCGGCGGCACCCCCACCAGGGCCTGGATTTGGTAAATTTAATGCTCACTCGAAAGGATTTGGTCAAAAGATGTTGGAAAAGATGGGTTGGAAAGGTAAAGGTTTAGGAGCAGATGGTGCAGGTATTGTCAATCCTGTTGAGACCAAACTTCGTCCTGCTCGTATGGGTCTTAGTTTTAGGGGTTTTGATGAACGAACTGAACAAGCCAAATACGAAGACAAATTACGTAAAGGTGAAATTTCATCGGAAGAAGAAGTGGAGGAGACACCCAAACGACGCAATGCATGGAAAAAGACCAAAGAACCGGGCATGACGACATCATTGCACAATCGAAAATCCAGGAAGCCCAAGACAGTCTATAAGACTGCAGCAGAAATTATTGCAGATACCGAAAAAGATGGGATACCCTCCACCCAAGAGCATCCACAACAACAACAGAAAATCATTGATATGACAGGTCCCACGATTCGAGAAATATCCATGGCAGATATCAAGAGAACAGATTCACCCACTTTGATGGAAGTCACGACACGATTACCGGAATTAAGGCATAACTTACGTCTCATCGTTGATCTCGCTCGACATGATCTCGAAAACCTTTCACGCGAGAAAAAATCCACTGCCTTTCGTATGCAATCCATGCAAGATGAATTATCCACCATCAAACAATTTTTGGATAAGGAACAAGGTCAATTAAGACGATTGGAAGAGTTAAAGGAAATCGCGCGTCAATTAGAGAAATCAAGCCAAGTGGGGTTAGCCACGGGCGCCTTTCAAAAGGGTGATATCACAGCTTTATTCGGTGAACAATTCGATCTCTTGGAACGCGATTTTTCAACAGATATTAAAGAATTGGAGATTGATACACTGGTGATCTCGGTTTGGGCTCCCGTTTGGAAATACAGTAGTATGACATGGCAGGTTTTACAAGACCCCACTTGGGGTTTACACGATGTCAAGCGTTGGAAACGATTATTAACTACCAACGAAACTGAAGAAACTGCCTCTTGGTCATCAAGGTCCAAGACTCAAGTGAAACTCGTTTGTACCCCATTTGAGACCATGATGAACACAATCTGGCTTTCCAAAGTGCGAAGTGCGATAAAGTAAGTTTTTTTTTTGCGTGTATGTATATGTATGTGTGTGTGTCTGTGTGTGTGTGTGTCTGTGTGTGTGTGTGTCTGTGTGTGTGTGAGTGTGTGTGTGTGTGAAAGAGAGAAAGAACGACTCGACTTAACAATATATATTTGCGATAGTAACGGCTGGGATATCTATGAACCCGACCCAATGATTCAACTGATGGAAGAATGGGAGCCAGTTTTACCTCGATTTATATACGAAAACATCATTCAACAACTCATCTTACCCAAGATTCATCGAGCCGTAACGGACTGGAACCCACGTACGGACCCTGTCATGATCCATACCTGGGTTCATCCCTGGTTCCCCACATTACGTGCATGGCGACTATCCGAACTCTTTACGACCATCCGACACAAACTCTCTGTTGTTTTACGACAATGGCACCCATCGGATGAATCTGCACTTCATATTATATCACCCTGGAAAGATGTATGGACACCGGATCAATTTGAAGGATTTGTGCTGAAATCGATTCTACCCAAATTGACGTTGGTCCTGCGAAACGAATTTGAGGTGAACCCACGAGATCAACAACACATGGAAGTCATGATGTGGTGCTTGGCATGGAAGGATTTGATATCCGAGACGGTGTTTGGACAATTATTGCAGCATGAATTCTTTACAAAATGGCATGCTGTGTTAGATCAATGGCTTCATTTGGATATCGAACAAGTGAATTATGATGAAATTAGTCAGTGGTATCGATGGTGGAGACAGTTTTTTGATTCGTATGGTTTTGATACGAATAAGATTGTGATGCAAGAATTTAGAAAGGCTTTGGAAATGATGAATAAGGCTATTGGAGGTGGTGATGAAAGTTTATATTAAATTAAAAAAAAAAGTTTTCATTGGGGGAAGAAGGATTTTATCCATCCCCCCGTGTTTAAAACACACAGGGAATGACAATTTTTTCTATTTTCTTTTGTATATAAAAACGTCATCTATAGGACGCCCAATTGTAGCACGTATTATTGAGACAGGTGTTTATATAAGAAAGAAAGAAAAAATAGTATGTTCTTACTCAAACGAAAAAAATATAAAACTGCATGATGGCATAATCACATCAAAATGAGGGCGGTAGCACGTTTTTATGCAGGAAAAAAACAAAAAACAAAAATCGACTGCTTTTTTTGAAGTGGCTTATAAAAGTGTCAATGGATTTTTTTTAAAAAAAAAAAAAAAAGTTAGCACAAAAAGAGTTTTTTTTTTTTTTTTTAATTATATATATATACAAACACAATGTCTGCTGAAAAACGTCCACAAGAAGCCATTGAATCAGAACCTAAACGTATTCGAGTGGGTACAACTCGTGATGTGGATGTATTTATGGTACCACAAGCACCCAAAGTACCTAAAACCACCATTGAAAAGGAAAACGCACAACGTTTAATTGTGATTTTGGAACAAGCGACTTTGGAAACTTTAAAGATTGGTAAAAACAAGGAAGGACATTACCAATTACTCAATGTGGATGATCATTTACATATTCTTAAAAAGAATAATCGTGAGACCTATGAAGCTCGTCCTGATATTACCCATCAGGTAAGAAAGATAGTGAAGTGGAATAGCCAGAATAGACTCAAACGGTTTTTTTTCTCTTTTCTGTATTTAGTGCCTCTTAACTCTTTTAGATAGTCCTTTAAATAAGGCTGGTCGCTTACAGGTGTACATTCATACCCACAAGAACGTGCTGATTGAAGTCAACCCTCATATCCGTATTCCCAGAACGTTTAAACGTTTCGCTGGTTTAATGGTTCAATTACTTCATAAATTAAGTATTCGTGCTGTCAATGGTAACGAGAAATTATTGCGTATCATTGAAAATCCCGTAGAGAAATATTTGCCCAGTAACAGTTACAAGATTGGTAAAAATTGAAAAAAAAAAGAAAAATTCATGCAAAAATATTTAACAACAATTTTTTTTTTTTTTTTTTTTAAAAAAAAACAGCTTTGTCTTGGGATGCACCAACTGTTCGATTATCTGAATATATGCCTACGATCCCCAAGGATAGAAATATTGTGGTAGCTGTTGGTTCTATGGCTCATGGTAACGATGACTTTGCCGATTCCTATGTGGATGAAAAGATCAGTATATCCGATTACTCTTTATCTGCATCCGTTGCTTGTGGAAAGATCACTTGTGCTGTGGAGGATATGTGGGGAATTTTGTAAATAAATGTATTAGAATAATTAGAAAAAAAAAAGTGTGTGTGTATCATATTTATTATTTATTGGAGTAAGGATAAAGCTTGTTGTTCTGCACGGACTTTCTCTTGAGGATCATGCCAATACTTATCCAACCAATGAGATGATGTGGATGATGGTATGAAAGTACTGGGTTTAGCACATTGACGAACAAAGGCATCTTCCGTACCAATAATATAAAACATGTGATAAGTATCACGACAAATCTTGTATTGCATACCCGATCGAACCTGAATCTCTTCCTTTCTTCTCTTTTCTAACATTAAATTTCTCTTTAAAAACCTTGGGGTCAGTAACGCTTGATTGATACCCTTTGTTTCATTAGCCCAATCAATATAATTAGATACATATTCATCATATCCACCACATCCTTCCTCGCTTTGTGTCGTCGTATGATGATGATGGTTGTTGTCTAGTAATCGAATACCCAGTGATCGACTTTTCAATTTAAATGTGATATGGTATGTATTTTCCCCCCCTTCAATTAAGCCTGCCACACGGGTTCGATAGGTAGTCAGATCCCCTTGATCCACTGTCTCTGCCTTATGTTCGTTTGTAAACAAATCAAATAATTCTTGAGATTGTGTATCTGCAATAATGATGTGTAAATGGCGCACCAGAGACAACACCAACTTGTCAATGGTGAACATGATGTAAGCATCTGTACCAAAAATATAACGAACACATTCTTCAAATGTCTGTTGTTCAATATCTCCTTCAAATAGCTTATCAATCAAGGCCAAGAGTAAATGATAATAACCTCGTTTGGTATCCATTTTGAGTGCTTTAAATCGACGTGGTGTGATACCCAATTCTTGTGCTTCCTGTGATGCCTTTTTCGATTTCTCGGGATGCTTTCGAAATTCGTTGTCTAACGCCTTCATCTTACAAAGTCGATCATACAACATTTGATACAATCGAAAGAAGCAATAAAACCCATTGTCACCAAAAAAGTTGTATGTCTTTTGATTCTCCTCTGGTTCAACTGAAACTTCCTTTTTATTTTCAATCAAGGAAGCCACAGTAGCAATCTTGGGTGAGGATGAGGATGGTGTCGACTTCTTCTTTATTGATTCTTGTACACTATCAGATCGCTTTGGTTTATTCACACGACGATTGTTGTTACGCTGTTGATTATATCCTCTTCTTCCTCTTTGACGACGACGACGACGACGACGGTGAGGTCCTACGACTTCTTCATCATCCTCTTCTTCATCATCCTCTTCCTCTTCATCACTTTCCTCTTCTTCTTCTTGTGGATTTCTAGAGACGGATTCTTCATGATCTTCATCTTCCCCTTCATCTTCATCTTCTTCATCCTCATCGTCATCATCTTCGTCCTCGTCATCTTCGTCTTCATCGTCAGAGGAAGAATGACCACGTACTTTTTTATTCATATTACGTGTCAAGACATCTTTTAATAAACCATCCTCATCAGTTTGTAATTGACCTCGTCTGGGTCTTCTACTTGTTCTCGTGGTCTTTTTAGGTGTATCTACGGAATCCACCGATTGTATTGATTTATCATCTTCATCCCCTTCCACGACCTCTTCCATGATGATGATGTCACCTGTGGTTTCAATGGTGGAAGGCTGTACATCCTCAACATCAAAGAACATGGGAATCATGGTATTCATAAACATACGCATGGATTCACAATCCTCTAAATTATACACGGGTTGTCTCTCCAAAAAGAAATAAACCAGTCTCGAGACATCCTTAAAAACGGCCAAATCCTTCAACTCAAAATGAAATTGTTGTTGTGCTCTTGTGCTTGCAGTCGTCGTCGTCGTTGTCGTTGTGTCGTTGTCGTCAAACGGATAATCCATCATCACCGTATCCAAATGATCGGACGCTCTTTTTCTTTCTGCTTCGGATACCAAGGCACGTGTCGTCATGGCTTTGCGATCGGTCATTTTAAAAGTAATACCCTGATAATCCAATGATTTCCAATAATTCTTGGCTTCTACTTCACGCCAAATCTTGTTCCATTCACGTTGAGCTCGTTTCCATTCATCGTCCTTTTGCTTTAGTCTTTTTAGAACGATGGGTACCGTCTGTGCTGGGTTTTGATGTAAAAGACGAATGATCTCCAATCCCTTTTCGGTACCATAAATTTTTTTAAGGATACGTTGATAGATGGTACGTGAGGGGCTACCCAAACTGGGGGAAAGACGAAAATTTGATTTTTCCTCCGTTGTCATGATACTGATCTTTTTGGCGATCGGTTCCAGTAATGCAATGGTATTTAAATTGGCTTCAATGTTTAAATCATAATCGTACCTTTCTTCTTCAACGCGATGTAAGGCTTCCTCGTATTGGTTCTTCTTGGCGGCTACAAACCCTGTATCTTCACTGGCCCATGTAGGATGAGATAGGTACGTGTCATTTAATACGTCCCAACATAATGCATCTCGACCTGAACATGTTCGATTTTGCCATTCTTTGGGTGTATGACGATAACTAGGTCCACAAGCATCCTGTCCGCTATTCGCTAATAAAGTGTTGGTGGTGATTTGTTGTTGTTGTGGGTGTGCATTGGAGGAGGAGGATGTAAGTGGCACATTTTCAATCATCTCATCGGACCCATCATAGCCTACTAATGTCTTGAACCAGTCAAATAACTCTTTACTTCCACCAATAAAACTCTCGACACGACTGACGAGAATATTTTGGTCCACAATTTGTTGACTGAATAAATTGAGAACCTTGAGAAAGGCATTGTAAGTAGCCTTGTTTCCAATGTAGGTCTTGACCTTTTCAAAGAATTCGGCTTCTTCAGCGGAAAAGGTAGGTCGTGAGAGATCGTCCGCGTGAGTTCTGACATTGGAAGTTTGAAGATCTGTTTTGTGGTGATGCTTTGTTCTCTGTTGGGTGAGGGAGTTTTAGACAATGTTTTTCTTCTTCTTTTTCTCTTTCTCTCTCTCTTTTTTTTTAATAAAAAAAAATTAGGTGTAAAGTAAGTTTACCTTGGAGATACTAAGGGTGGGTATACCCAGACGCTTCTTTCTTCCTTTAGGTTCTGGTAAAAACTGTTTAAATTCATCGAGGAGCTCTTCTGAACCATTGAATAAAGCTTGAACTTGGGTATACACCTCACCAATTGGTTTCTGGTCCTTTTGATAGGTCTGTAAAATCTCTAGAAACTTTTTGTATGTGTCAGGTTGACTGGAGAAACGGTTCTTGATCTTATTGACGTAGGTGATGGCATGGTTGAATTCCACGGGTGCCTTCTCCTTTTTCTTCTTTTGTTGCTGTTGCTGTTGCTGCTCTATATTATTAGCATCGTCTTCCTCCGGTCGCTTCAACAAGTCGAGGTTTCCACTATCGTTGATACAGGTGGTACCTGAAGGTGTGGTTACTTTTATAATATTTCGGGATTGTTCATCCACGCTACACTCGATACGGTAACCTGGAGGTAAAAAAGTATTGAAGCCCGAAATTAAAGCTGGGTGACCTCGAAATAAAGTGGAGACACGTTCAATGACACCTGGTGTATCAATCCTAATGTTCAAATAGGTAAGTCTTTCTTTTTTTTTTTGCTTAACATGTTCTAATGCCATGGTCTCTCCTTACATTTGACTTTTGAAATCCTTCATTATATCCAAAAACTGATTATAAACTTGTGTCTGCGAAGAGAATTTCGCTTTGACTTTGTCAAGATACGACAGTGCATCTTTAACATTTAATGGTCGGTATTCTTCCACTTTGACTGTATTGTTGTATTCAGATGCATAACTATCCCTGTTTTAGATGAGAAAAAAAAAATAAAACTTTTTTTTTTAAAAACATAGTGTCTCTAAACATTCTCTCTTTTTGTTTTCTTTCTTTTGTACCTAGTTTCTTCAGGATTATCGGCTACCATATATGCTTCTTTTTTTTTATACAAAATAAAAATAAACAGATAATGAAGAGAGGGGGTAAAAGAGTGATACTTTTTTTAAAAAAAACGCGTACAGGAAAAAAAATAAAAAAATCGAGGATAAATATAACGGAGTTTGATATATTTTTATATGACAATTAGGTAGGTGCGTGCGTTTTTTTTTTTTTTTTTTTTTTGCATGGCGTGACGTTTGAGTTTTTATTGTTATTAAAGGAGGAAATTTTTACATCATTTCAGCAGATTGTCTCACTAAACGAAACACCTTCTTTTTAAATTGAGGATAATTATCACGGTATTCTTTCTAGAAAAAAAAAAAAAGTCAAATGTGTTTAAGAACCGTAGTGATGTACAAAATAGAAAATCAATACTTACAGCGGCTTCTATATTGGCAGGTGATTCATCATTGGGACTAGATAACATGGATATAACAGATAATAAAATGGTCTCTACGGTGTGTACAGGAGACCAACGTTCACTGGCCTGTTCATAACCATATTTATCATCTCCAGGGGGATGCTTTTAGAGATGATGAGTTGCTTGTGATATATTAAAAAAACTATAAAACACTTACAAGAATTGAAATACACACTGTACCATCTGGGTACACTAAAAAAAAAAAGAAAAGTCAGCAAAAATTAATTTTTTTTTTTTGGTGCCTGAATTTTTTTTTTGTTACCGTTGGGGTGATACATTTCAGTCTCAAAAATCATGGTTGGTGGTTCTATAGGATACGACTTTTTTTTTTTTTTTTTTTTTTTTCAGTAACAAATACACTTCATGTTGATTATCAATGTTTTTTATACTTTTGGAAATGATAAATGTGCTTTAAAGAAACCACCCTCACTATAAAAAACACGTTGTCAAAATTAAGGTTTGCTTTTTTTTTTTTTGCTTTATAAGCTGTAACCTGTCAAACTTACTATAATGTGTCTTGAGATCCAATAACAAGAATCTCCCACTATTCAACGTAATAATAATAATAAAAAAATAGCTGAGCAAAACAAATGATAAGGTGGGTTTTTCTTTTTTTTTTAAAAAGAAAAAATATTTTAATACCTCATAAATATCATCCTCTACAAGACCTGCTGAAAACCCTTCTACAGGATTCTTTTGGAGATCTAGATTTAAAAACCAAGTATTAGATTACAAATAAACAACAGGATTTACTTTTTTTAATTCTATAATTAGAACAAAAAAAAAGGTCCTTCTCAATGAGACACTCAAAAACTCATTTATAACCACCCAACCAACAAGAAATGCTTGCCTTTTAACTGCCTCGAAAGTAAAAGTGCACTTGGCTCGCTTTGGTTCATGTTCGATTATTTAAACACAGGAAGAGAAAAAAAAAGAATAAAAAAAAAAAAAAAAGGACACACACACTCAGATGACACACACCCGCCCCGCCCCGGACCAGATCAGTCCGGCACTCCTTAAAAGTTCAGACAATTTGGGCTTACTCGCATATGCTATGTGTATTCGGCTACATACTGGTTGCATTTATTCAAAAAACCACTAAAAGCGAGCTACACTACCTCTAGCGCACCTTTTTTTTTTTAAAAAAAACATACCTGTACACTTTTATTGGCTTGAATCAACTTCGACCTTAGCTGATCGAGCTCACCTTCACACAGTTCACCAAAAAACCTTCAAGCTAATCCGAGCTAACCCAAACTCCTGGAGGTGAGCTGATTAGTTTAAATCAGCTTTGATTAGCTTTAATTAATCTGGATTATCTTGGATTAACCTGAATTAGCTTTGATTAAGCTTGATTAGCTTGAAGCCCCCAAGTCAAGCTTGCGAGCTAGTCAGGATGAGCTCACGAAGATGAACTGGTGGTACACTGATTAACTTGGATTAGCTTCAATCAACCTGGATTAGCTTAGATATAAAAAGAAAAGCTCAGGTCATTCATGATCTGCAAAGTTCCAAATCACTGTCCTATATCATGTTTTTTACAGACATACGATCGTAAATATCATACATCACGGCCTCTTTTTTGTTAACTATTTATACTTTTAATTGTAAAGTTTACCTTGTATATATTGAGACTGACAGCATTGCTCCTAAACCCATTGGAAAAAGAGCTTTTAAATGAAAATATAAAAGTCAATAAGTCTCAGTAGCAATCTATGCCCTTTTTCCCATTTTTTTTTTTTTAATGACCTGGAATAAAAATGTGAATAACCCGAGCACACATGGCCAGAAAATTGCGATTGTGAATGTAGGTTTGTATTACTTGACATTGAATTAAGAAGATATGTAACACACTTATAAGAATTTTAAACTTTTGTCTTGAACGAAAAAGTTTTTCATCTTGGAGAAGCTACCTAAGACTGCCAACTGTAGCACAAATCACAATTGAATTTAAACAATTAGAAATCAAGTGGAATATCCTGTTTTGAATCACCTGTACAAAACATGAATGATAGAAAGAAGATTGATGTTGTTTCAGGGATTTTTAGGAATGTTTATCGTAAAATGCTTAGTGGATTATTTAGGAGATGTGATGATAATGTTGCCGGAGTGAAGGAGGCGAAAAAAACGAAGGATGTTGTGGAATAAATCTTAAAAATGTTAGATCCCATACCCAAAGAGGAAGTTATAGTGCGTCTCTAATCATAAATATATTTGGAAGTAGGACAATATGCTGCAAATGATGTCTTGACACTTTAAAAGAACAGGATGATAATTTATGGTAAGAGGAAAAGTATTGAGCGAAGTAATTAACTACAACTGAGGGAAAGTATTACGCAGATTCCCAGTGGATACAAGGATTTTTGGTAAGATTTATCTCGTCTGTCAATAATATTTTGCCACAAATAAAGTGGTAGTTAAAGAAAAAAACATTATGCAAACGATGCCTTTCTTTTTATCTGTTGTTCATTTATGTTTCTTCTTCCAATAATTGGGGATTTTATCGTTTTGTTCCTTTAATTGATTAAATTGCCGCTGGCAAAGACATGTCTTTCGCTTCAATGTGTAGTTAAGAAGTCTTAGTAAGGTTAAATGGATAATTTATCCTGTATCGAGTTCATGGTTACATGAAGTTCTTGTGTCACAAAATAAACTGGCCAAGTGAAACACCGTTTTCTCGTAAAGCTTCTTCATAATTTTGCTTTCGCCGCTTACAACATCCTGTGATAGAAGAAAGAAAATGGAAGAACTCTATGACTATTCTCAACATAAATATTGTCTTATTATGGGTAAGCGACATATTTTTTTTATTTCACGACGTTGCTTACCTCGTATAGATTTGGAATATGACACCATTGTGTCTAGCATTAGTGTCCTTAATAGATCTTCACATCTGCTTGAAAGGTTAGTTCAACAGTAAAACAACAGAATATGCTTTTTTTTTTTGTTGACAGAGATTGGTTTTTTGGTTATTTTTTTTTAAAAAAAAAAGAATTCACAAAACAAACAGTACCTCAATTTTATATCAAACTAACACCGGAACCGTTATTGCTAAAAGTCGCTTGGTTACTGAAAACCGGGGTTTAAAAAGACACCGAAAAGGGGTTATTCATATACGTAACATTTTTGACAAGCTTGCTACCAATGATTCAAAATTTGAGCAACTATCTATCCATCCCACGGCGAAAAATGCGGGTCTTTTTCAGGGAGCCATCACGGTGTTACAAACCATACTACAGGAATGGCAGCAAGAGTTGAATGCTACAAATATGGATTTTTATTACGCATTTATAATCCCTGCAAATTGGGAGTATAAGATAAGAAAAGAATTGATCCAGCCTCTATTTGTAAAAGCTGGTTGTATGCATGAAAATAATGGCCAAGGAAGATTGTTGTTTTTTTCAAAGTTAGAGTCATTATTTGAAAGTATGCAGATATATTCCGGTGCCGATGATCTTTTGAAAATAAAGCATGGAAAGCAATACATTTTATGTACACTAAATGACCGAAGAACATACTCCTTGGATATATACTTGATATCAGCTCAATATCCTGCTTTCACATCAGCAACAGGAAGAAAATGGGTCCCACAAATATTGAAACAAGGTTCTATTGAAATATCTTATGGATTAGAAAGACACCGATCGTCATTGATAACATGTTTGGAAAAGCATTGTAATACTACTTTATCATCAGAATTGATCGGCACACTGCTGGAACTTTTCAATAAAGGATTGAAAAATTGGGAACGTATAGTAAGAGTTAGGGGAGGGGGGGGGGGAGGGCAAATGAAATTGGAAAGAAAAAATTGTTTTTAACCAGTTTTTATGTACTAGTTTTATCCACCGTTAAATAGATATCTATCCCGCCAGCCGTTTAAATATTTAAAAGATGATAAATTCGACAGGTTTAAAAAAGAGGAAATCCGTGCTATTCGATTGCTCACTTTAAAAGATATACTTGATGCTTCGTCTATTTCTGCCGAAAAGGTCTTTAAAAGCGAAATGCGTAAATTTCTTGAGGGCACGAGCAATATCAAAACCAAGTCGATGCTCATCTTTCACACAATAGAAGATAACAGCAATGTTAATTCAGTACAGTTTCCCGCGTTAATTGAAAAGTGGTCGAAAAGTTTCAGCGAAGAGCAACACAAATCGTTCGAAACAATCAAGGCACTTGAATACAATTCGCAAGACGTTGCCAATATGCAGCTTGTAACAAACCAAATGAAAGAATTTAGTATGCGCAGAAACCCAGTTATACTACCTATGGAGAATGCAACTGAACAATCCAAAAATTGTTTAAAGCCTATTAGTTTCGTCAATATCGGTAAAACTGACTCCCATTTTAATTATTTTACTGCGTATATTGACCTATATTTTTTTTTTAAAAAACTAAAACAGATATATCACCAACACAAATCAAGACTATTTTTACATACCTAGACAAAGATAGACAAATTAAGCAGACGCAAAATATTGAATGGTAACAATGATAGATGGTAAAATTTATTATTTATAGCCAAATATGAACTAAATTTTGTTGCATTGCATAATATAGCAATATGCAACCATTGACTAGTTTTATCACGACGCAATCACATTTATATCACAGACCAATACTCCATATAACAAATAGGTAAAACTAGTTCAAGAAGTCACTTTTTCAATTGACAATTCTAATTGTGGCGTTTTAGAATGAAGTTACTTTTAGAAAAGACTTTTGACGACTATCTTAAATTATACTCAACTTACAACATACAGAGTATGATAATAACGGACACGACAACGAATTTATTTGATCGACTTTTCCGAAAAAAGCAAATGAAACTTACTTTGGGTAACATTGACAGGATAAAAACAAGTCAAAATAGTCAAAAGGAAATAAGAAAATTATTTGTTTCATCCAATCCAAACCTATTTAAGCAACTTACGAAAAACCTTGACATGGACGATTTTTTTGCATCGAAGGATAAATTTCGTGATGCGAAGAGCGAGTCATTCACTACCTGTCATCCAGGTTACATCTACTTTTTTATGATCACCTATCTGCACTGTCTCAACAAGCGGTTGAGTGAAAAATTAGCAAATAAATTAGGGAGAAAATGGCGAGGCAATCATCTTTGGTATGGCGTCTCGATTGATAAGAATCTCTTGGATACTGTTTTCGGCTCCAAAAAAAATTTGGAAAAGTTGTTTTATGCCGGCGGTATACTTCAACAAGATGACACGCTTCGAAAATTAAAAACATGTACTCGTGGAGAAGAAATTCTACCAGCTATTCAACAAAGGCTATTAGGTTTGAATTTTAGGTTGAAATCATGCTTTGTTGTTGCGCAAATATTTTCAAACCACATTCAGCTCAGTTTGCACCAAACTGTGAAACTATCTTCAACCGGAGACGATGCAGCTTCGATTATTATTCAGGATGAAGTGCTACATATCGAGGATGTATATGATACACTTTGTAAAAATGTCATGAAGAGCATACAAGCCAATAATTGCCAAGTTAAATATTGCTCCGCGCACAGGAATAAGCAAGATAAACGATATAATTTTGAAACATTTGAAACATATAGCAATATATATCCAAATTTAAAACCATGCCTTGTTAAATTGGTAGGCTGATATGCAACTGACGTCAAAGTTTATTAACCACTTTTTTTTTATCAGTTGGAACAAAACAGGGTAAATTTGGACATGAATTCTAAAATACAGATGAACATGAACAGCAAATGTGCTTGCAATATCACCATTTTTCTTCGTGACATTATTGAAGTATGTCTTGTGCCAGTGGTAGAAATCATGGCAACAGATATAGTGGCTTCTTTAACAAACAAGATGTTATTTGGAAACTATGTACCGAATTATATTTTTGTGTTTGGAGATCCGTTTAATCTGACTTATGGTTCCAAGATCCACACCGTATACACCATGATAATGCAAAAGGCGATGGATGATGGCATACACTTGAAAGAAAAAGATACAAAGGCATATATATTAAGAGATTCTATTTTCCAATTACTGGAGCTGTTTGTGCAGAGAAAAAAGCCATACTTGTTAGAAAGGTTTGTCACTGGAACGTTATGCCAAGTCTCAAGCGAAACATTTGCGGTACGCCTTGAATCATTTTTGTCAATCAAGTCTGATCGATTCGTTCGAATAAACAGTAAAGGGGTTGTAAAAAATATCATAGAAGGAGATGGTAGCTATCTCGTATTTATTCAAAAAGGGAAGCCAATTTCAAAAAAGGGTTTAATCATTAAAACCACTGGATATCGTGATCCGGCAAGAGGTTAGTTGATTATCATCATCATAATTCTTCTTTTGTTCTAACTAATAAAACACACCTCCATTTTAGAATCGGACCCAAGATTAAAAGTTCTTCAATTAGGTACTTCAATAGGTACTGTTCCGGAGAAATATACTTTGCTGTTCTCAGGCACCACTGATTCAAGTTATTATATAAGCTGCAAGAATGATACGGGTATTTTGGTCAAAACTTTGGTGTTAGAATGTGAACAGATGAGCAATAGTATATCTATCAAATTATCAAAAGGGTGTCTAATCAGTGTTGATGACTATATTTATTCTCCTTACTACAGTTATCTAAATATTATTGAACCATTGACACTCGCCTATATTTAGTATATCACGGCTTTAATAAAATCCTATTTCATATCCACAACTCATTCGAGTCATCGTTTATTAGCGTGAACTTTCTGTTTTTTTTAAAAAAAAACTCTTTTCAACCTTGATGTAATTGCCTTCACTTCATGTAACTAGTAGTTAGTAATAATGAAAATATTTTTGGGATTAATAACAAGGTGATTAGCATTATACTCTTAATGGTGTCGCTTATATGTGTCTGCTTGTGATTTATTTTTTGATTTATCCCTGTTGATGTCTGGTCCAAAAACCGTATCAATTGTTTGAAGATATCCTGAATTCTGGTTGCGAAACACTGGATAAGTCTAAAAACCACAAGATGCAACAAGGTGTATGTATTTTACAATCACCTTTGTTTTTATGTACCTTACTGCCCAAATGGTCAACAGATTTTATGTGTTACAATAAGCTTCAATTCAAGAATCCTCAAATTAAAAAGATTATTTTTTATAAAGAGCTACAGGTCTCAAATGAGTACAAGATCGAGAAATAAAATAATGCAAAGCCCAACAAAATCATACATGTGGGTTTTCAACTACAAAAAAAAAAAAAAAGTTTAGATATAAATTGCATCTTATTTTCTATCAGGAAGATTTATCAACAAAATGTTATGGTTGGCTAAAAATCATAAGACGGCTAGAGTCATTACTTTACAAAGTCTCTGTATGTGCATAACTACAATGAAAAAAAAAGAAGAAGCAAGATGCTCCTCTGGTAAACTCTTTTGCCTTTAAGAGTCATATATATATCATTATAATAGCCGCATTGAAGACACATTTAGTGAAGGATCTTCAAAGGGGAATAGAAAATCGACAATATGCTGCTTACGTGATTAGCAGCTACTGGATGTTTGTTTTTCCCCTGTTCTGGTATCCCCATTACTATCGCTTTAAAGATATGACAATAATAATAATGATAATAGAAAAAATTAAGTCGATGTTAGAAGAAAAGAAAAAAAAAACTTTTTTATAGTAACGGATCAACTACGTTATTATTCTTCGTTTGAGATTTTTTCGATATCCGTAACAACACCAAGATAAATACAATATATAATAAAATAAACGAACCATTTGCAATCATAACCGCATCCCCTTTATCGTTGACCACCTCCTCTATGGTGGTAGTATTAGCTAACGTCGATCCATTATTACTTATAAGGGCATAAAAATCAGGCCTGGTAAATTCATCTCGCGCGCGTGGTATCCAGCTGGGTATATACGGTGGTCCCTGTGTGATATAATTCCATTTTCCAGCGTCCGTACATGAATCATCCACGCGAAAGACATCTTTATTCGGCTCATGGTAGGACTCTCCATCCTGTTTGGCTTTCCACCATGGTATCATACCACGGCATATGGAGCAGTAACTGGATGTTTTGGTATATTCTATGGTGTCACTCCAATTACTGATAAAGGCTGGATCTAATCTTTCTTTGGCTGGGATATTGATTGCGTCGCGACGAAAGGACAAGTATTCCAAGTAGGCTGTGTCATTTCGATCCAGATAGTTGATATAGTCTGCTAAATCTCGGGGATCAGGATAGGCGTCCATATGAATGATGGATCTGTCTGAAGGAACATAACCTTCATAAGAAGGAGGTCCATCTACAATGGGTACAGCAGACATAGATATCGTATCTGACAATTTCTCCGTCACTGTTTTGGTAATACCATTAGAATATATAGAAAAAAAAAAAAAAGGGCGCCAAGGGAAATTTGGGAAGTTTGGTTACCGTAATTATCGCAGTTGGAATTTTCTGCAGCCAAGTAAAATTTATATTCTGCCAATAATTCCATTCTGGATTTATCCACTGGGAAATCCTTATTGTTCAAACAACCACCGTAACTGTCAATGTTGACGTATTCTCTTAACTTGGCAATATAGGCTTCTCTCCCATTGACAGCTCTACAATTCCTAGCGATCCATAAAATTGGAGCGCCCTTTTTCTTTGTGCTGATGAAATCTTTTGGCAACGGTCTGTTCACGACATCCATGACGCTGGGCGAGAAATAAGAAAATAAAAAGCTGGATTTAAAATTATACGAAGCGAGGTAATCAAAGTCCTTCATCAATGGTTCATCAGCTCTAAAAGGTGATGAAAAGGGTGCTTCCATCGATTCCAAAATCCAGGGCTGGTTTTCGACGTCTATACAAGCCCCACAACAAAATAAGTATACATGTGTGTGTGACTATGAAGGGGAATTGCACAAGAAAAAAAAAAAAAACTTACGTGGTGGTAAATCATTTAATACAGTGTCAGGGGCATGCAGAATTAAGCCTGCTGCTTCACTTCTTTCTTTTGCGTCACTTGTTAAGGTACACCATGATTTGTGTTCTGTCAGGTTGAAGTAATACCCCTCAGGTATAGGACAGTTACGACCTACCTCTTCATCTTGTGCTGTAGTTGTGAATGGGGCCCATGGCGAGTTAGAAGTTATACTATTCTTTGGGTGGTGGCCATGATCGAAATTCTCAACTTACAAAACTTGGGTGCTCCAAACCAGTTGGTGGCATAAACAATTTTCAAGGGAGGTAATTCTCTTACCATGACAGGGAAATGGAGATAAAGGAAAGAAAAAAGGTTAAAATAAAAAAAAGATAAAAATAAATTTACATAAAACGTATTAAGGGGAGTGGGGGAATTTCAATTGCTGGTTACAATGAACTGTATCATTCCTTGATAATTAATTCCTGGTACTCCCTCAATTGGGCGTTCTATACACACTCACACACACCGGAATTCCTCAAATCGTATCTGCAGTGTAACTGTTGGAGAGTTTTTTTTGCCCAGTGGCTAATTCCCGCACAAAACAATCTTGTTCGGACCGGATGGTATTGCATGTCTTGTCAGGACTAAGGGCATCTACTATCATCAATGTTCTAAAGTCATTAGGCCTCTGATAAATCCGTATATAAAAACCATTTAATCATACCCCTCCTTGTCATGTATGTAGTATCCTGTCTACATCAGATATAGTCATACGTAGGGCATTTCATACATAAAAGAGATACATTTTACGTGAGGGTAATGCTCCGATATCTTTCTTAAAGAACGTGCGGACTTGTATATATACATGTTTTGTATTCTAATTATCTCATGCATCAAACATTGATATTAAACAATTGCACTATGAATTAAAACCTCTTGCATAATTTTATTTACATTTTTTTGGGGTAACTATCCATTTTATATTGGATCAGCAAACGGATCTTCGAGGATATCCCCATTTTCATCTCTCGGCAAATGCGTATCTCCACTATGCGAAGACAACATCAATAAATCTGCATCGCCAGCTCTTGATGGTAAAGCCAAAGGTTCATTGTTAGCACGATAAGGTGACGTAGGAAAATCCACGGGTATTTGACCTGTCAGCATAATATCATACATATCCAAAGCCTTTAATAAATCCTCATTGGCCGAAAGTAAAGTCCCAATCCACTCTTCATCTTCTACCAATCTGGCATAACGCACAATCTTCTTCTTTTCTTCTTCACAACGTCCATGCATCTGTGCAATCGTACGATCTCGCCTCATGTCCAGCTCCCAGCCGTCCTTGTTGGTGTTGATTAAACGAAGTGCGTTGACTAGATTGTTGGCGGATTGGGTGGCAAGTGCTACCTCTTGCATGATTTTAGGCTTGGCCTTTTCGAAATCAAATGTGCTGCTGCCATTACTCTGTCGACGAGGCCCGATATCATTGGGTGGTGGTATGTCCGTATAAGGTTGGTCTTGATGATAGTTTGTAGGTGGATGACGTACATTGGGTGGCGGTACTCTTCTGTCGGGTGATGCGATTAATCCAGGATATCTATCCGCTGGTGAAGTAGCAGCAACCAGGGGAGAGCCGCGCTACAGTGTATATTAGCTGGTAAAAATAAAATAAGAGTAAAGCATGTGTGTTATTATTACCTGGCTGGATTGACCCTGAAGTAACGCTCTCCCACGCTCATGCAAACGATATAATATTTGCATGCCTTGTTCACCTTTGAATTTGGTGGCCCAAATACCCAATAATGAAACAATGGTTTTTCTTACGTTCATATCTTCTGTGGGAGACTCGATAATCATTTCAAATCTCTCCTTCATTTTCTCATTGCTAATTAATTCTCCTGGTAATAAAAATGTATGAGTTTTATAATGTAGAAAGAGAAATAAAAAACTCGTCATTTTTTGTATCCCATACTGTGAAACCTTCCATTTGAGTTTTCCATCAGCAGCTTCAAAACCTGTTGTGATTATGCAAAAAAAAAAAAAATGAGTTACACCAGGTGAATGAATAAAAAAAAAAAGTCCCAATAACCTCTAGCACGCGTAGCTTCTGTTGTGTGGTGCCATGCTTAAGCTTCTTTCGGACAGCTTCAATAGCTTCTCTTGCACCAGCAGGTTGCATAGAGACTGATTCTGTTAATTGTTCGAATTGGTACCATTCAATCTCTTCGTAATTAGACAAATTCTCTACCCAGTCCTTGTTAGTTATTAGAATAGAGGATAGTGGATCAATTGTTTACCAATATACAGTGTAATTGATGTTTTGCTTTCCTCAGAAAATAACCCCATAATGATATATTAAAAGAAGGAAAGAAGAAATAAATAAAAAAGAAAAAAAGAGGGAAATATATATTATTTAAATGTATGACCCTGCATTCTATTTATTTATATAAAAAAATATGTACATACAAGCCAAAAAGAAAAAGAGTTCTATTTTTTACGGTTGAATACCAATGCAGCACCATCTCTACCACTACTGATATTCACCACGGCTTCCTTTCTGGGCACCTTGTTTCTATGCAAATGACCGAGTCTCTTATAGGCCAATTGCTTGTCTGTCTTTTGTAACTTGGGTCTATTGTTGATGACTTTAACGGTATATTCTCCCACAGTTCTTCCATCGCGATGGGTCTTTCTCTTTTTGGCTTTTTTGTTTTCTTGTGCCTCTTGCTCAGCAATCATCTTTTCAAATTCTTCCGTCGTCACATGCTTTCGTTTTCTAGATTCTTCCTCCTCTTCCTTTAAAGCTTGCGCTAATAAATCATCAGGTAACAAATTTGTTTCTTCTTCCTCTTCATCTGCTTCTTCCTTTGCTGCTTGTGCTGACTTTCGCTTTTCTTCTCTAGCCAAAAACTCCTTTTCGGACTGTTCCTTTTTTGTCTTCTTTTCAATGAGCTTAGCTTGTCTTTTACTGCCTTCCTTTTGTTCCTTTAAAAGTTGATCTCTTAATCGACGCTTTTCTTTTTCCTCGGCAGCCACTCTATCAATAATAATGGGTGAATACACGTGCCTAAAAAAACACACACACAAGCTTAATGCTTACTTTGCTTTGGCTTCCTTGGCCGCAACAGCTTTAGACAGGACAGAATCTTTGGCCTTGGAAGTAGAAATGGCTTCGGGAGCCTCATCATCAGAGGACGATGCGTCAAAAATATCTTCATCAACCACCTTCTTGGTGGACTCGGGGACAACAATATCCTCGTCTTCGTTAAATACAATCTTGGCCATGTTTTAGAAAATTATATAAAAATGAATAAAATAAAACACACTCAGAAAAAAAAAAAAAAAATAGGTGTAATTCGATAGGTCGGTGGCTTAAATATGTGACGCCTTTTCACTTTATTCATGCAAACAATGGTAAATCCTTTCTTTATAATTCAGGTCCGGGCTTTTGGTGCTCATAACTTTCTCAAGTTCAAATTCTCACTTTTATGAAATTCGTCTTAATACAATCAATAAGGTTTAATGGTCACCTTGAACCTCAGGCCCGTAATCTTCACTACTTTGCTTACTGAAATTAAATTTGACATTGGGACCAAGTAAACCACGACCCGATTCTTTTTTTTTTGTTTTAAAGGTCTCCAACTGAACCATCTTTTTTTTCAAGTGCAAACTTCTCGGACTTAGATTCTTCCAATGCAAATTTTGTCTTTCTTAATTCGGTCCTAACATGCTCGATCTCAGCTGGATCTATCTTGTTGTATTCATAGACGAGCCGTGCAAAACTAGAGAATGACTCATTTTGTAAAAAATTTAGAATTCGAATTTCATTTTTAGCAATATCCAGTTGTTCTTTAAACAGCCGATAGGATTCACGGTTCCATCAGTTTTATTCCACTGTTTTAATATTTCATAGGCTGTAGAGCGTGGGATAAAACAAGTTTGGGCATGTTTAGCAACACTGTGGACTTCTTCTTGCATAAGCTGAAGAAACATTCTAATATTATCGGGTACATAGGCCTTACAGCCTGTTGTTTGATGTGTGCTTAGGTTGATGTCACTGTTTTCTGCACCATTCTCCACTTCTTCTGCTGCACTTTCCTGTTCCATCTCATCATTTACCAAGATTTGCTGAGGTACTTTCCAGATAAGCACATGCTTTTTAAAACACAAAAATACATAAGAGACATTATGTATGATTATGGGAAAGAAAGATAAAATGATAGTAAACAAACTGTCAAATACATTTTGACAAGAACAACCTGTGAGACTGTCAATGCAGAAATCTTACTCTGTTTGTCCTTTAGGTTTTCTTTATAACCTATCTAGCGGCCCGACTTTTTTTTTTTTTTTTCATTTGTGCGAAAAGCAACGAATATTATTTTTATAAACAATTGTACAAAAGGGGGGGGGGGGTGATATTTAAAACTAATTTACATTTATAATTTACTTCTTCTTGTATCTCTTGGGTAACACTAACCCACTGGCAGTTTCAATAAATTCCACCACATTATCATCGTGTTCTCTCTTTGGTACACGCGATGACGACGACGAAGAAGATGAAGCTGATCCTCTCTCATCTTCCTTCTTTTCTTCCTTTACCCTCGAAAAAAACGACAGGTTTTGTCCAGCAATCGATAACTCGGATTTATATCTGGGTAAAGCTGGTTGAGTTCGTACGGGTGCTGCAGGTGGTGCTCGTGCGGCTGCGGGCGCTGGTTTAGGTGCTGCTGTTCGTGCTGCTGGTGCAGGTTTAGGTGCTGCCGGTGCAGGTTTAGGTGCTGCTGGTGCAGGTTTAGGTGCTGCTCGTGCTGGTGACGCTGACGCTAGTTTAGGCGCTGTGGCAGGCAGAGAGGACGGTCCAGCTGCTGGAATATCAGGTACAGGAAACGGACGCGCCGATTTCGCTTTTCCTTTACTGGGTTGGGCTTGTACTTGGGCTTGTGCTTGTGCTTGGGCCTGTTCATGTACTCGTAGTAAAGGAAGCACTCTCATCAATTCATTATACAACCTGGCTACTTCTGCTTGATTCGAATTCGTGTTTTTGGCTCTTTCTTTTTCATATGTCAAATTCGTTTCACAATAGTACTTATAAAGTTCCGCATGAGTACTATTGGCATGTGGTGGAGCTGTTGTTGTACTGGTAGCAGGCTTAGGGGGTAATGGTGAGGGTACGTACTTGCCTGCCAAGGATTTTCCAAGTTCATGCGCTTGTAATAAAGGATGCACTCGCACTAATTCTGCATGTAATCTCAGAATCTCGTTATAGTTGGAAGTGGAAGATTTAGACTTTTCTCGTTCATAATCACCAGCACAGGTACAGTAATATTGTAACAGTTCAATGTAGCTGTCAGTCGTAGTTGGCACTGTCGAATGAGATGGTCCCACGCCATTGCTGTTGCTGCTGCTGCTGGATGAAGCTGCTGTTGCTGCTGGTGTTGCTTTTGCCGCTGCCGCTGCTCTTGCTGCATCTGCTGCTGCCTTCTTTTTAGCCGCCTTTTCTCTAGCCAATTTCTCCTTAGCCGCCTTTTCTCTAGCCAATTTCTCCTTGGCTGCCTTTTCTCTAGCCAATTTTTCCTTGGCCGCCTTTTCTCTGAGTAACTTTTCTTTGGCCACTGCCTCTCGTCTAGCCTTTTCTTTACGTAATGCATCCTCCCTGGCGCGTGCCTCTGTTTCCAATCTCAACCTCTCCTGCGCTTGTCGCATCAATGCCAACCTTTTCACTTTCTCTGCATCCGCCGCTGCTTGTTCTGCCTCCCTCTGTCTCAGGGCTTCTTGTTGGGCTCGAAAAGATGCCAAATGGTTACGATTTTGTTCCTGGCAACGTATCATGCGTTCATGCTCGTTTCGTTTCTCAAACAATCGCATTTCCGCTTCATCTTGCTCGAGACGCACCTTTTCTTCCTTGGCACGTTCCTTTTCCAACCGACGTGCTTCTTCAGTTGCTTCCGCATGCTTTCGAAACCGTTCCATTTGATGTCCAATCGATAATTCATTGCCTCCTGAAAACGGTTTGACAGGTGTTGCTTGCGCCATGGGTAACACTGAATTTTTGAATGGGCTATAAAAAGGTGATTGCGCTATATGATGCGGTACTTGTTTAAGACTCGGTACACCATTGGCATCAAACACAAGATTCTTGCGGGGTATACGATACACTACAAATTTAGATGTACTGGGTTTATCACAGCTTGAACCGGCCATTCTGAAATGCTCGTTTTCTGGCCTTTCTAGTTTCACGGGTCGCAGTTCACCTTCTGTCTTGACATTTTGTAAAGGTGGAAGATCGCTGTCAGATGCATCAGGTTCCGGTTTAATAGGTACGGCCTCCTTGAAATCGGCATATGTATCCACCGCAGTGGGTAATAACGCTGTAGTTGGTTTGCGTAATTTTTTTGGAACGATATTATCAGCAGTTGCTTTGCCATTAAATTCTAAAGTACGTGGTGGTATCGTGGCTGGATTGTAAGCCTCAGATGATATGATCGAAGCGCTACTACTACTACTACTACCATTGCTGCTACCAGACGCTTGTGTTTTTTCTGTAGTACGCGGTGGAGCCGATTGTATCGTAAATGGGTTTTTAATATAACGCGGTACCGATGCTCCATTCACGGGTGCTTTTGAAGACGATGCTACTGACGCATTTGGTTTTGTCGACACAGGCTGTGGTTGAGCGCTTGCTTTACTAGACTGAGCAGTGATTTTATTAGCTTGTACGGCTGCTTTGGGAGGCTGTACAGTTGCTTTGGATGATTGTGCAGCCACTTTACCGGGTTGAGCGCGCATTGGTAATTTGCCAGCCTGTTTCGATCCTAACGGTAAATTCGTGCTCGTGGAAGGCATAGGTGCCTGTGTCGTTGGTCTAGTTACAATATTTCTAAAGTTATTAGGTGTTGCTATTTGGAAGTTGGGGTTCATGATATTTGCTGCTGCTTGTGTCTGGGCTGGTGTTGGTGGTGGTGGTCTCAGCGCTTGTTGCGGTAACGGTGGAAGAGGTCCATTATAATTCGATATTAATGGTTGCGGTGGTGGTCGTTGATATTGAGGTAAAGGTCCATTATATGGCTGAATTGGAGGTCCATTGTAATTGCCCATGGGAGGACCATGGTATTGTTGTGGTGGAAGGGGTCCATTATAAGGCATACCCTGAGGAGGTCTAAACTGCTGCTGTTGCTGCTGATGATGAGGCGGGTATGGCTGTATCGGAGGTCCTTGGTAAGGACCGGCAGGCATGAATTGCGGCATGGGTTGGTATGGTCCTTGAGGCATGTACGGCGGTTGCCCAGGATATTGAGCTACTCCTCCAGGTGGTGCGGGTGGATATGGAGGCCCATTGAATGGTGGTGGTTGACCTGGAATAAATTGGCCATAATTAGGAGGGTGAGGTTGTGGAGGTAATTCAGGAGAGTCAGGTAAATCTGTTAAATCGTAAACCTCGGGAGATTTCTTTGCTGGTTGCACAGGTGGTTCTGTCTTTGTGGTTGCAGGTTCGGGCGCATGGGTCGTGTTATCTTCCGATGTATCCATAGGAGAGGTTGGTGGCAGTGATGATGCACTTGTAGTTGGTTGTTCGGTCATGATCGTGTCTTCTGTTTCAGTCCTTGTCGTGATCTCTGGCAACTCAGTCCTTGTCGTGATCTCTGGCAACTCAGTCCTTGTCGTGATCTCTGGCTGCTCAATCCTTGTTGTAATCTCTGGCTGCTCAGTCATGATTGTGTCAAAAGGTGATGCGGTTTCTGTCGCTGGTACAGGTGGCGTATTATCACTACTTGGTTTTTTTATCGGCTGTTCAGTAGGTGTAGCTGATGTTGAGTGCTCGTTAGTTTCTACTGGTTGTGTAGGCGTATTAACAGACACACCATTGGCCTTATGTGTAACGTTCGGCTGAGCACTCGAAGCATTTATGCTGCTACTAGCTCCAACGGGTGCAGGAGGCGCTTCTTGTTCAGGTGTAATGGATCGACGTGTATTGGTAAGGACTTTGTTGTTATTTTCGATAACCCTAATTTCCTTATTCTGATCTGTCTTGACCGTGACATAGGAATGAGCGCGATTTGCAGTTTCTGTCAACATAAACTTTGCGTCTGTGCACCACAAGCAGAACTTGAGATCAGGTAATGTTTTTTTTAAAAGAGCCAAGGTAAAACCGTCGGTGTATCTCTCGTCATCATCGAAAATATAATCAAATGAAACCAACATGGCTACAGAGAAAAAAAGTATTCATATATTAGGAGGGCAAAGATAAAAGAAAAAAGAAGTTTTTCCTTACATTGTAGAGTACGTAAACTTTTGTCACTGACAAATTTAGTTTTATGCGTGCTCGTATCAAGACCATCGTCCACAGGTTCGAATTCAAAATGACCCAGGATTTCTTCGATGGCGGGTTTGAAGATGTTGTCCCATTTGTACTGTGTCAATTTCATTTCCACAAACTTATCAAGCATGTCTTCCCCAGCAAACCTTTTTTTTTTATAAAGAAATAAATAGATGGGTTAACTTTCTTTTGTTGTCTTTTTTTTTTGTAAACAGCTTTCCAACGGGATGATTTTCTTACCGCTGAACCGCCATACCACTTGTATCCTGCTTAAATTCTGGCTCCAGACTTTTCATCCATGTTTCAATAATATCCAAAAACTAAAAAAAAAAAAAAAAAAAAAAAAAATAGACACAGAAAAATAAAATTAGAATCAAGGTTCATCTCTTTACAATTCAAAAGAAAAACGTTACAGTCAGTAGTACAGCATTGGGCTGTGGTAAACGTTTCTTTTTAATGGCTAATTCGAATTCTTCCCGGATACGAGCTAATTCGGTATCTCCCACCTCGATGGAAATTGCATCTTTGGCTGCTGTTTCAGCCGCCTCTGTATCGTCCATAATCACAATGGAATTTTGGAGTTGAATCCCCATGGTTTTGCGCATGACTGTATTGAATAAATAAGGATGAGGACAAAAGATGACTTCTGCATTTTTAATTGGTACTTTTGATGAAAAATACGGGCATAAATCATGTTCTGGCCCTGCGACTCGATCCCTATTTCCACATCGTTTTTTATCGCTTTGTGGTTGACTTTTTTTTTTTAAAAAAAACAAGAGTGTGTGTAAATCAAACTGTCAAAGCCTTTTGGGTCTGTTTTCTTACCTGGGTTCATCTGCACTAAGGCTGTGAAATGTGTCCAACACTGTACATGAGGAGAAAAAAAAAGGGTCACGTTAAAACATTGCCCGGACCATCCCCGTATCCATAAATAAAATACTTGCCACATTTTTGCTTTCGACCTCCTATGACAGATATAGCTACGATATCATGTTTATTAGCCAAAAACCCCCGCGCTTATTATCTTTTTTAAAAACTTACTAGGACGATACACTATGTTCTGATCCAATTCTCTCACAAGTTCAGCTATGCGGTCATATCTGTATGTATAAATTAAAAAAAAAAAAAAGCTTAGTACTGATGCCTAAGGGGGTAGATTGGTTTTTCTGGTTCTACTTTACGTTGGACAAGCAATATAAATTTTGGGTATACTATCCGCGTCCACGGGTTGCCATGTATTTCGTTTGACGGTTTTTCTCTTTTCGACATACGCTGTCTTTTTGGTGTTGTACAAGGCAAAGGCCTTGTCAAATTTCCCTCCATTCAATAAGTTTTTGAAAATCGCTTTATCTTTACCCATCCATGACAGGTCGTCGTCGTTGAATTCGGGCATCGATCCCTCCTCCATGCTGAGGTTTTCTACTTTGGATTGTCTCCAAGCTAATCAAAGAAAAAGAAGAAGAAAAAAAAAGAATCGTTGGTGTTTTCGTCCTGTTCATTGTCAAACTAAATCATCGTACCTAAAGAAGCAACAAGCACAGCTAAAAACTTTCCAGATCCTACACATATAAAAGACAGTAAGGAAATCAAATATCACGACTAGAAGAAGAAAGTCAAACCTTTTGATTTTATAAGAATATCATGACAGCGTTCAAAGCCTTGAATAATCTACAGTTATTTCTTTAGCCGTGTTTACTATATAAATTATACTGCAATAGCGTTGCCTTACTTTAGACATGATATCCTTTTGCAGTGGGTCTAAATAAAAATGTTTAGATTTAACAGCGATATAGGGTGTTTTTCATGTATAAATTACTTGGTTTGGAGCGTAATTGAATAGGTATGCCTCCTTCTTCATGCGTGAATGTTGAACCCGTTGGTGAAGCACGGGTTGGATCTTTGGAAGCACCACTGCTTGACATGGTAAGCGTTATTTTATTTTTTTTATTTTTTTGAAAGAAAAAGAAAAAGTAAAAAACAAAAAAAGATTTTCAAGTCCAGTAAAACTTGATTAGGAAAGTGTTACGGGCCCTCACCCTATTTTCTGTAAGACACCATACATATAAACTTTATTTACAAAAAAATAAAAATAAAAAGAATTAAAATTCTTTGTAGATTAACGTTTCGACGAAATGCTCAATATCACTATCATGCACTTGCACCACGGATGATTCAAAGCTATCCAATGATATACGTGCACCCGTCTTTTCTGCTGCTTCTTCAAATGCCAATCCAAATGTGCTAAAAAGGTTTATCAGTTGATGCGAGCTGTGATGGTCAATGATCTTTAACATGGACTTACTTTTTACGCACTTCTCCAAATGTAGGTGCGCCCGTCGATGCTAATATTAAACAAGTGTTGTTATCTTCATCTAAAGAAGAGATAACAAACGGAATACTTTTCTTTCCGTGCTCCTATAATAATCATAATCATAATCAATACCATCCCCAAATTTAAATAAGCTCCTTTTTTGTTTTTTACTCTGTAAGCATCTGTCAAAAATAAGGCAAGTTTGGTCAATGCAAGTGGATGTTGAAAAATCGAAAGATCAGGTCCATTCCGAATATTCACAAATCGAAAGTTATTCAATAATTTCGCCATACGTTTATCGATGATGGCAGTGCCCTGACGTACAATGGCCTTCTGTGTCTTCATGCATAGCTTGAGCCCACGCAGAATGCCATCAGGAGAAGGACTACTCAAAGCATCATAGGCTGTATAGAAATTTTTCATCCACCATTTACGTCTTTGAGATTTCATCTCATGTGCTGTCGCATCCTCTTCGGATTCTTCGGCCGTGTGCCAATCCTCGTTCTCATTCCAATTGGCATTGACATTCACACCTAATCGAATAGCAGCAGCAGGACTGGTCTCTAAAATAGTCGAAAGCGCATACACAACATCACTGGCAGATAAACAACATTCCCATCCATAACTTCTTGTAAAGCTAGGAAAGCAGATGTCGGTCAGTCCATAAAGCGGTGCAATCACTTCAATCTTGTTACGAAGCATCTGTTTTAAATCCATATCCATGTGGGTATATACTTGTTGGCATTGTTGAAGTGAGAATCTACATGAAAGATGAGTACCATGGTATGAGAATTGTAGTCTATAGTAACACACCCCATCTTTGCAAACATATTGTTCAGTCGTTTTTTTCCTGCATCTTTCCAGACACCTAGTTTACTTGATACGTATCCTGAATGATACATACTGTCATATAAACTCCAGTGCCTAAACATCATAAATCTATATTCATCCTCTGATTTAATGACCACATTTGTAGTTTGTAAACTACCATCTTCATTTCTATTTACATTCAATCTTGCTCGATCGTCTTTAAAAACCTCTAATTTTTCGGCATACTTGTATGTATCCATTTGTTCAAAGACGTATTGAGAAGTGACACCCACAATCGCAAGCCTGCCATTATCCTTTTTTTGTCAGTTACCTCTCTTTCGTATATATATTATAAAAATTACCATAGTAACTCGTTGTTGGATTTGCCTAGTTGATTCACTAATTCATAAATAGCACCCGAAACGGAATTACCGTAATAAAGACCACCTGAATAGTATGCTGCCAGTAACCGATTTTGCTTTCTTCTTAACTGTCTTTTGGCTGCTCTCGACAATTTCTAAGGATAATCGTTTGGTCATCTATACATACACCATGTCTTCTCTGTCTATTACCTCGTCCCCATTCATACGCCGTCTTTGATGTGCCCGTTTATCCCTTGTTCTTCCTTCGGAATCATCTGAATCGTTATCCTCACTCTCTTGATCGATATCTGAATCCTCATCCGAATCGTCATCATTCTCTTCTCGAAACTATATAAAAGTGTCAGTTGAGTATCCCCTGCCACTACTCAAAAATCATTGCATCTTACGATGATATCGTGGAAGGCCTGCATGACTTCATTAATTTTCTCTGTCTCGTCTTGATCGTCAAAGACACAGACTTGTGTATTGGAGGGATGCATGTTATCGAGATTTAAAGGTCGATGACTATCAATAATGTAAACTTTGGCCAATGCATTCAGATCAAAACATTCCAAGATATTTCCAAGCCCTCCACAATTAATCATGACAATCGAACGCAACTAAATCAGTGGGAGAAAAAGGTTAGCCTGGGAAGAGACATTAGAGTGTTTAAAAAAAAGGGGGGGGAGGAGGAGGAGGATTTACGTCGTCGTCTCGTCTCACTAGTTTTTCATTGGCAGCGACAAGGTCTTTATAACCTGAAACAGGTACAATTTTATGTGGAATGATGTCACTTTTTAATAAAGCCTATACAAAAAGAAGCTGAATACAAAAAAAAAAGTGAAGGTATCTCTTTACAGAGGGGTGGGAGCGAACCTGAAAGATACGAATGGCGCAAATGGAATCGACGTCAGCTGCTACAAATACAATACAATTGCCTTCTTGTGCGTCTGATTTAATGTATTCGTAGGCCTCATGATAAATATTGTTTGTAATTCGGACCATCACTCGAAAAGTCGCGTAATCAAAACTTCCAAATATATATTAAAAAAAAATGTAAGAAAGAAGAACAAAAAAAAAATGTTTTCGTTTTGGAAGAGCGCGTTTTCGCGTAAATATTTTTGGCGTATATCTGAAAATGGATTTCAGACAACGACTTTTAATGCGATTCAGACTGTCCTCTTGCCGAGATAGAATTATGGAGGCTTGGAATAGATACGTTTTAATACAGCATAAATAAACTTTAGTCTGTTCTTCAAAGTTTTACAACTTTCTCAGCTTGTTACCTTTACAGCATGGTGTTCACGTAACTAAACACTTTTCGAATATTTTATTTCAATAGGGACCTTGTTTGAGCAGCTTTGGAAATACTTTTTAGAGCGTTGAGTAATGTTATCAAGGCGTGATAAAGGAACATCATTACATGCTTCAATTATTTTTTATGTGAGTGTTTCAGACACCATTTAAGCTAATTACGCTTTGTGTTATGCTTAATTATGGCCCAGTTTTGTTCAATTGGTTTCAATTCTGGAGAGTATAAATGAAGATATATCTACGTATTTATAGCCTTTTTTCCTATTCTCCACCATATGGTTTACTTCATTGGAACGCTGGTATTAACGATAATGAAATCAGGCTTGAATATGTTTACAAAATTTAAAAGCGCACATAATTACGGCATCAATAGCTGGATCAAGATGATCACGTAATACAGTTGGGAGTGTATATTACTCTACATCGTGACTTTCCATGTGCTTTTCGTATAAATCCCTGTCAATTTTGTTGTAGTTCTTGTACTTATTAAGACCAGGATTTGATTGTTCAAAATACGTTCCAAAATCCCAACTGCTTGCGTTATTAATAGAAAAGAAATGAATAGATTTTTTATTCACAGTGAATCTAGATTATCACAGAGGCGTAGCAGACATTCTACATCTCGAACTGCGGAGGCAAGAGATTCCGTTTTTTTAGAGCAATAGGAAATCACCCTAGCTATCTCGCCCTATAACTCACATTAGAAAATTTGCTTACAAAATGATGTAATTAAGGCATACCTTTAGAATTTCTTTTTCTTCTCTTGCCCTATCAAGTCGATGAAATGTCAAGATGGTGGGTGGTAGGCTAATGCCGATCTGTTTCTGCATATACTGATAGATCAGATCGCCGTTTATGATTTTTTTATGATGTTTTTGTGGTCAAGATGTTGCTTTTTTTTTTTGCGTGGACTTATAAGATAATAAAATACACGGTTATGCAAACGAATGAAAAGAAATTCGTAATTACGTACCAATGTATTTGTTGTAGGCTGTGACAAGTTTTTTGAGATCTTCTTGTTCACGTCTGAGATCGTCAAGCTTGTCATCAAGGTTTTTTTGGCCAACTAAATACATAACTGACGTTAATTCTAAATATCCATCTAAATTACATAAAGTACATACCCTTTCCAAGTTTAAGGTACCGAAGTCGGAAATGAATCCCTTGTGCGGTAGTGGAAATAAATTGAAGCAACCTATCCTCCACTGACGCAAAGTCTCTTTGGTGGTAACCATCAAACAATGGGTCAAGCAGAGTTTCGGGTCGACAATCTACTCTATTCAACACTTGCTCTAAGAATCTCATTTCGTCCAACGTCCTCTTCATCTCGGTCTTGATGCAAGTGGTCTCGCTACGCTCAAGAGCACCGTTGCAAATACGAACCCTACAAAACATTTTAATCAGCATCAACCTCTACAAACTGCTTGTCCCAGCTTACTTTAAGAAGACATATGAATAAGATACAAAAACGTATCTTTCAAGGTCTTCTTCGGCATTCCGTCTGACATCAGCTTCGCCCACCAACTTCCCACGAGCGAAGGTCGAGGCAGGAAAACGTGGTGTTGTCAAGCCAGTTTTCCTTCTCATTCTCTCCTTAGAATCAATTATCTTTACGACAACACAAGCCCATCTCTCCTTCAGCTCCTCCATGGATACCCCCATCATATCACTCTCCAGGCAGGCAATCAGCTTCTCGTTCGTCGACCACTTTTTCAAGAGAAATTTACCTTACAGACATAAATAATTATTAGTGGGCAGAATCAGAATAGTAATGTTTCTACGATTACCGATCTTATCCATCTTCGTCCACGCAAAGTATCGCACACCGTCGGTTAAGGTCAACTTTCTGGTTGCAGCAGCCATATTTCTAGTGAGTGTGACATAACAAGAAAGGTACGACCAGAACCCTTCCATGCCTTCACCATCCGTCAATCCAAAGCCAGGAATGAACCTAGGATTAAACTTCACTTGGCGCCAACGCCAGCACCATCATCGCTATCATCAACATCTTTACCATCACCATCTTTACCATCACCATCACCGAGATACTGGAGTTCAGCGTTCTAGAGTGATTTAAACATTTCAAAAAAAAAACAGATTAATTATATTCATCAAGAAAATCAAAACAAGACCATACACAATCACTGACAGGGCGATCATCCTTCAAGAACTTCTCCACGTTCTCAGCTTTACCCCAAAGCTCGTCAACTTGATACACCAAAAAAGACTCAGGTGAGTTATGAGCACAATTATGGCGCTTCTGGGAAAAGTTTCCATCCATTGTTATCATTGTTCGCTCGGAACCCTAAATATAGGATTAAAAATTGATATGTGGTGCCATTTTATAATAATCTTACTAGACAAACAACGCAGGAAGGTGCCAACATAATCCCATCCAAAGACTGTGCGAACTCCTCCTCAAGTGTTCTCTAGATAGACAGCAATAATCTACAGTAGATGAGATAACACTTGTTCAACACATCTTGACCAAGTGACAGCAACTGTAAAAACATGTGTGTAAGCAATCAAATAAAATATAGATACAGTCCATAATTTAGTCTTACCTCCTCACCAGAGTCACTAGCAGCTCTTCTTGAATTCTGCAAATTCATCCACTTGACCCAGGACGTGACTGAATCCTGACCGATTTCCTTACGGTCGTGAATGGCTTGCAAGAAACCAAAGTGTACAGCACACTTTGGTTGTCTAATGCTGGCAGGCATGAATTGCAAGAGCATTAAAGTTTTCCAAAGAGGCTTGCAATTGCACTCTTGGAATTTCACCTTGACATGGCCTACATTAAGATGTTTCTTAGTAAAGGTAAACTTTCAGATCGGTCAAAAGAACTTACGGTGAAAGAAGTATAACTTCATTTCTCGAATTTTTACTTCATGGTCTTCGCACACAACCGCAGGTACCTCAACCTCAACTGCTTCAGCTTTAGGGAATCCGTTTCCCATTGACTCGAAAAAGGCAGCCTTAACACCTTCAAGGTTCTCCTCCCAGTCATTAGCCAGTTGTGTAGACTTCATTTGACGCTTCTCGCTAGCAAACTTTTTGTCGGCTTTTTCTTTTGCGATAGCCTCGTTCTCTTTAGCAAGAACTTCTTCCTCTGTCAACGCAGGCTCATCGTAACAAGTGTTGTCGTTCAAATCGAAGTCGTTGTCACAATCGTTAAGAGCATCTTGTTGAGGCAAAGCCTCATTTTGTTGCGACAAATCCTCAACGGGATTTTGGCGAGGCTTCTTGGAAGCCCGATATGATTCGAAATTAGAAAAGTCCAAATCATCCAGTTCGATTTTATTGTAATCAACAACAGGAACAAAGTCGCACTTATTAATAAACTCGTCCTCAGGTACGGGCTTAAACAAACTGGATGTGAACTTGAATGGTTTTTGCGTGTTGTTTGGCATTTGGTAAGAAAATAATTAAATTTGTTAAAAGAAACAGCAAAGGAAAATGTATAATTAAAAGTAAACAATTCTGTGAATTAAAAGTTCCGAATTACAGCAGTGCGCCCCAAGTCGTAGTAAAAAAAAAAAAAAAAAAAAAAAAAAAGTTTTTTGTAAGGGTATAAATATTTAATCTCCAGAATATAGATGGATCAGGGCGAACATAACAGCAGGCGTCGTTTTATGACAGCACATTAAATTTTTCAATAAAGTTTTCCGACTGCTTCATGAGTTGGACAATTGGAACCATATTGGACAATCGTTGAAGTTATGTATACATTTATTCCTGAAGCCCTTTTTTCTTCATGAACAAACACGGTTACGCAGATACCATATATCTCTTTTATATCTCTGTGATATCTAAGTCCATGCTGTAGGACATTAGAAGACATGAAAGTAGTGTTGACTGTGTACGTTCTCTGTAGGTTTGGCAGATATCCTTAGCTGCGACGCAACTAAATGAAAAAGAGTTGACTTATTTGCTCGTCAAATAAGGTGTCTAGATATCGAGAACGTTTGCCTTGATGTTATTCTGGTTGACGCTTGCAAACTAACACTTTCGGTATACTAATTTATACTTTTTATAGGAATAAAATCAAGTAATATGGAATAAAGCCTTCGGATCATTCGCTATGGGTAAAGATTGTGTAGATACTCTGGTTGTAGGGGTACAGAATATGTGTTTGTGTTTAGGTGAGGTAGGTGCACACAACCTGATTTATTACGTCCAGTCAATTTATTGTATGACCCGCTTCGACATTTTGTTTATCGTTCTGGTTGCTAATGTTGTTCAGTGGATTAGTACATTTTCTTGGCCATTTTCTTTTCTCAATCATTCATATTTTATCCTTTTCTTCTCCACTCAGTCCACTGGACTTTTAAGCGAAAATAATAAGCCAAAAAATCTCTTCCTTATAAATGTTAAAGTCATGAGTCACTACGTTTGGTTATTTATAATAAAAACCTGGGGGTTATAATGGCCTCTCATATGTATATATACAAATGGAATAAACATGTGGTAACAGCCTAACAACCTCTAATTTATCGGAATATGCTGTGCATAAAATAGAAACTGATATGGGCAACAGAAAACTGAAGACCGTATTAAATCTTGATAATTGGGTGCGAAAAGAGAAAGTTGGTTCAGAAGACACTGTCAATAAACAATCAAATGGCAACGTTGACATTTGTTGACCTCTTCGAAATGTGGGTGATATAGTAGGCGAGTCTAGGCAGTTCAAAAAAATTGGAATAAATCGCTTGATTCCAGCGAAATTGGTGATTACTTAAAACCTGTTGTCCAGTCAAAGAGGTGGAGATATCCCACTGGTTATAATTAAAATCCCCGGAGAGTAAAGTTGAAGAATTACTAGATAAGTTAACGGAGGGAGTATCTTCTCTGGAACGAATTATGGGCATCTCGATGATACGAAAAACAAATTGCTGACGTTCAGAGAGTTGTGCCGGAGCATTAATGGTAACAATAGTTATAGAATCAAAGGTACGTTGAGAATGAGTTATAGTACACTTTATCACCCGTTGATCAATTGTTATGAAATTTAGAGTTAGTTGCAAGGAAGGATTAAAACAAACAATGCCGCAATGCTTGCTCCAGACTGTCCGTTTGGTTTGAATAAATTATCAAGAGTTAGCTTCAGTTCAGTAGTGGTAGCGTGTGTTTCTTGTAAATTAATGATTTTTAGAGGCGGGTTTTGTTTACGCAGAAAACGAATAAAGTCTTGACGACTTGAGGGCTCATTGATTTTGACAGGAATGCGACAGTTTAAGGTATCGATCCTGATGCTACTTAAAAGGAAAGAGTGGGCTAAGAATAGATCTTAATTAATTGGAGGAAAACGAGACGATGTTGATCCTGTTGTTGGAGTAAAATGAGGATTAGTGGTGGTTGTGTAATTTGAATTATGTGATTCAATCTTAACCCATTTTCCAAGGCAAAAAAGACTGGTTACCAAGATCAATTTTGTAAGTCAGTTTATCCCAGGCTTTAGGGTTGGTCGGGTCAATTGATCTATCTAAAAAGATAGCCTCATTCCCACAGAAAGCTGTGTTGGATTAATCGTCTAGATAAATTGTTACGTCCCTTACGTTACCGAATCGAAAGAAATTATCAACCAAAGTCGTGCGTAGGTCGGCAACTGGCAGAAAAGATAATTTTGAAAGGTGGACCTTTAAAATGATGTTATCCTGAGGACGGCAGGAGTGGCATAGAACTTCCTGTCTTGCCCAATAACAATAGGAGTGTAAACGGCATCGTCAACAGCTGATTAGTTGTTTAAAATAACTTCGATAATTTTACCCTGACTGCCATCAGTGGCATGAGTACCGAGACAGGTACCAAAAGGAAAACGCACATTACGTGCTTTTTGAAATTCAGGTATTAAATTCAAGGATTCTTTTTCAACAACAGAAAAAAGGGTATGTTTATAACTACTGTTACGACGAATGGCTGATTTTTGATCTTTAAGGTCAGAAATGGATTTGAAGGTGGTGTCTCCAAGAGAGATGGTAAATCGAGATTTCGAATTGGTATTGTGATAGTTAAGAATAGAGTTTAAAAAGAGAAAAACAATAAAGTACTTTGAGACTGCTTATAAGTTTTTATTAAGAGTAAAAGTAGATTCAAAGATTGAGAGGGTTCTATTCTAACTATCAGTTTGCATATTTATATATGTTACGAGAAATCGGATTATGAATTTAGTTTGATGGATAAGTTACACAGCACTAAAATAGTGCTTGTAGTTGGATATGATATAATTTATAAGAGATTAGTTCGTGTTGTGGTGTAATAATGTATGGGGTGATGAAATGAGATTTAATTTTAATATTGTTTTATGGTGTGATCAGTAACAACAGTAGGTGGATGACCACAGGTATGCCCGAGGTAGTAAGGCTTGTGCAGCCACAACTCGAAAAGAGAGTGTTAGTGTCTTTGAAGGGTCATAATTATGGCTCTGAAGAGATGTCGAGGGTACCGTCATGTTTTTAAAGCGAAAGAAATACAACCCAAAGGAACACTTCCACACACTACATTAAAAAAATTGCGTTGTTATGGGAAGTTAGATTGCCTTAAAAAATACTTTTCCCCAATGTTTGAAAAACGCCACCTGCTTTCTACAAATGGTACAACCAGCTTTTCAATATTTTTTGTAGAATCTATTTATTTGACGAAAATAGTTTTAAGAAGGTGGAAGAGGTTGAGCGTAGATGTATCTGGAAAAGAGGTATCTACTGTCATGGTAGAAATTTCATTTCATATGACAATTTAGATCTAACCGGTACTTTTATTGCTTTGTATGCCTCTTCTGCTGCTTCTGCTGCCTTGGGTTACTTACGCTATATCCTACCCAAAGAGTCAAACATAGACAGACACAGTCAGTTAATCAACCTGGGAAACAGATCTTAGATAGTAGTAGAAGTTTTCCAAGTTCTTGAAACTGGTATTTTGCTGTATAGATACAATGAAAACTTATCGATTGAGGACTTTGGGTAACCCAATTTTGTAATTTCTATATATATAGCTGCATCTTAACTTGAGTACATTTTGTCTGTTGCTCAAAAATTCTACTACTATTTATATTACTATAAATAACGCTAAAACCACTTCAAATGTTACAGATTCACATGCAACAGTACCTTCAAGAGTACTTAAAGATCCATTCCATTTATTAGACCTGATAAAAGTGTCTCTTCGACACGGTTTAAGCTAGTGTTCGAACTTTTCGAGCTTGCACCGATCTTGCGCCAGTTCAAACGAAGCTCGAACCGAGTTTTTGTACTCGAGCGAGCATCGATCGAAGCTCGCTCGGCTAAAATGTCGATAGTAGTCCCTTTAAAGTTAAGGTATTTGAAAGTCTAGTGATGGCATTTCCCCTTGATTTTCATCTTTTCTTCCCTTTACCATTTTTTTTTTTTTTTTATTTATGGTCTAATAATTCCAACGAAAATGCTTTAGACTTTTAATTAATTGTACAAACAACAAACACATTTAGCATAGAAAATGATACAGTGTTGCACACTAAACCCAACTAAGCCAAATTTTTACAGCAACCATAGTAACATGACGTAGCAGAATCAATTTAAACTTTCATGTTTGTAATAAATCGGTAGTGTGATTTAATAAAATAAAAAATAAAATAAAAAATAAAACAAAGTACATAAGTACGTTTAGAATTCCTTTATAAATTTATTGACCAAGATGTTAAGATAATAATTTGGGGTCTATTTATACTAAATGACAGCTGGAAACTAATTTCATATTTGACAGTAATTAGTCATCAATAAATTTCTTCTTTGACTGTCGAATACACAAGTCAAGTTTGTGTTCTTATGTCGGAATGGGTATATTCAGATCCTTTCAATATCACTGGATCTTGTTACTTTATTTACCGATAGATCTGTGATACAGACTATTTCCATTTATGTCAATTACATCTACTTTTATTACGTATACGCTATGTGGTTTGGCACATGTCCCTCCTCCAGATTCAACGCAGGTTGATCGATTGACTTACAAGTTTTACTAGCGTGGATTGAGGTGTGATTTCCTATTTTTACTTTTTTTATGCAGCCAATTTGTGACTTGCATTTGTGATACATACTTATTACTATACATTTTTTTTTTTTTTTTTTTTTTTTTTTAAAAATTATCCTTCACGCTTCTACTTTTGATTTCTTCTACTACGTCTTTTCTGTACAGGTGCATCCTTATCCATAGCCTCTTTATGAGATCTCTTCTGTCCTTTTATTGTTTTGGTAGTCTCTTTTGATCTTATTACTTTTTCTGATTCCTTGACTAATTTCGTTTTTCTTTCTTGTTCTAACTTTTCAAGTTCGCGTACTTTTGTCCAATACTTCCGAATAGTTTCTGGCGAGGAGAATGACTCTGCTGGTAACCATGAATTCTCTCTTTCACCATAACCTATCCATTTGACTAAGTATTCCCGTTCACCATCAGCATTATCCTTATGATCACGAATCTCGTCAACTTCAAATAGCTCGTCTTCGATACTAGACTCGTCAATATTTACAACTTTTAATTCCGA